TAGTGCTTTGGTGGATCTTTTTCTCTAATTTAGTTTCCATTTTTTTTAATTTACTTATTTTTTTCTTTCTAACTATATATATTTTTTAATTTCTGTGTAAACCTAATACTATGCACTTCCCTTCTCTTACTGCATTCTGCCTTCTTCCCTCTCTTTTTTACTTACCATGTAAATTTTACTTTCTTTCCCTCTTCACCTGGTCCCTATTCCCTACTCTTATTATTGTTCTTCCCTCTACCCTCTCAAAATCATTTTTCTTTCAGTTAGTTATCTCATATTTGTTTTTTCTCTCTTATAAGAGTCTTAATCTCTTTACACCTTTATTAATACTGGCTCATTTGCTGTAGATAGTGTGATCATGGATGGGGGTTATTTTTGAGGGTGGTGGGTTTGTTCCTTCAGCTGTGTGGTTTTCTTCTGGCAGCACAACAGTGTACAAAACCTGGTGGGTGGAGAGACTAACAGTCTGCCAGCCATAGAGAAGGACCCACCGAAGACAGACCCAACAACAATCAAAACCCAGTTACAACCAGAGAGCCAACATAAATGGCATAAAAGGCATCCCAAGAGCATCAAGTTCAGGAGATCAAGGAGACTACACCACTGAATCCCACAGGTCTCCTACCACAGAAGATGGAAACATTCAACAGACTGGAAGAGTATAATGGGGGAAAGAAGGGGAAGGGACTAGTTAAAGAACATGTATGAATGACCCATGGACATGGGCAACGGTGAGGGAATTGACTGTGGGAGTGGGGGGATGGACTGGGCAGAGGAGGGCAAAGGAGGAAAAATTGGGACAACTGTGATAGAATAACAATAAAAAATGATGAGAGAGAGAGAAGAAAGAAAGAAAGAGGAAGGAAGGAAAATAAAGAAAGGAAGGAAGGAAGGAAGGAGGGAAGGAAGGAAGGAAGGAAGGAAGGAAGGAAGGAAGAAAGAAAGAAAGAAAGAAAGAAAGAAAGAAAGAAAGAAAGAAAGAAAGAAAGAAAGAAAGAAAGAAAGAAAGAAAGAAAAAGAAAACAAAGAAAAAGAAAGAGGAAGGAAGGAAGGAAGGAAGAAAGGAAGGAAGGAAGGAAGGAAGGAAAGAATAAAGAAAGGCCTATTCTAACGCTAAGACCAGCCATGAAAGTCATGGTTTGTTTTTCAGTCCTTGACCTTGAGATGTGCCTCTTTTCCAGCAAAATCCCTACTCATATCTGAATGATTCTAGTAACCAAAAATTTATCAATTGAACTTTTATCTAATATTTTACCATTAGTTCTTGACTTAAATGATTTTGAAGAGTTTCACTTAATAAGCTGTTTTTGCAAACTCATTGAATATTTATAGGATTTTGAAAGTCTCCAAGTATACCATAAAAATATCCACATTTTTATGGTATATCTAGAGAGGCAATTGAAACTGCCAAAATCATGAATGATGTGTTTTTAATATTATAAAAGGAATCAAAAGACAACAGAGATGTGTTTGTTTCCCTAAGGAAAAAAAAAGTGAATTTTTTTTTTGCTTTTTAAATATAAGATAATCACCCAGAGGTAATCAGATTATATTTTAATCCTTAAAAATATAATACTAATGACTTTTTAATAAGGATACACTTACTTAGGAAGTTAGGGGACCCAAGTAATGTATTATGGACAGCTGAGATACCTTAGCAACCATTGAATTATCTAGCCACCGTTAAAGCTGAATTCCTCAGTCAAAAACATGATGTTTCATTTCTCACTAACACAACCTAACAGTTAAAACCTAGTCTTTCTAAAAGCTTCAGCCAAGGCCAAAGGAGCTCCCGAAAGCAGCCAGCCAGTTCCTGTGAAGCCAGGCATTAGGCGAGGTCTGTGGGGGTCAAGGGCTTCCTCGCGCCTCCAAATCACAAAGTCGGGCTGTGTTCTTCTCCCGGCGCTTGTTAGTAATGAAGCTAGGACGCCTAATAGGAGAGGCACTGGAGAAACAAATTGCTAGAAAATTACTTAGTCATCTGCAGGAGCTTGAATTATCTATCACTTTGATAGTGAAATCATTATATAAATCCATCTTCAAATGTCCTTGTCTGGATTAAATTCCTAAGCACCTTCTGAATTCCTGAAGGGATGACTTTCAGATCAGAGCCTCAATTTTAAAATGCGACATGTTTAATAATATACAAAAAAAGTAACTGCTGTTTACACATGTTTCATATTAGCAATTCACGGCTAATATCCCTCGAGGTTTATTATTCCACAAACATTAACGAGGCTTAGTCCCTAGGCTTTCAGGTGTTTTTGTGAGCCTTACTGTGCCCTCCACAGTGGCTGTCTTACATTCAATCCCTACACACGTCTCTGACCTCTTCTCCCTCCACCACGAGCTGCTGCTACCAGTGCAAGGAGGAAGGGAGTCTCCGTCCTGGGCCTATATAGGAAGTAGTATAGGGCATTTCTTTTTTTATTTTTTTTTAAAGATTTTTATTTATTTATTTTTAGAGAGGGAAGGGAGGGAAGAAGAGAGAGGGAGAAACATCAATGTGCGGTTGCTGGGCGTCATGGCCTGCAACTCAGGCATGTACCCTGACTGGGAATCGAACCTGCGACACTTTGGTTCACAGCCTGCTCTCAATCCACTGAGCTATGCCAGCCAGGGCTTATATAGGGCATTTCTTATCCACAAAAGGTCCAGTGCAAAAAAGTTATAAGCTTGTTGTTCAGGAATTAAAAACAGCATTACAAATGATTTTGGCATTACCAGGAAAATAAAAACTAAGTTGCTTTGTGCAGGAAGTAATAATCCTTAGGTCAACTAATGTGATCCTCAGATTTTGCAGTTGAGAACACAAGCCCAGTCCAGAGAGGCTGATTTTTCCAGAGGGATACAACCCGTTTGCAGCAGAACTTAGATGCAGTTCAAGTTTCTGAACTCTGGAGTTCCATGCTGTTTTTTTCTCTTTCCTTTTATTTCAGATCATGCTCTGGGGGAAAAATAGGTATTTTGGAAATATATTTTATCATGATAACATAGCTGAACACCATGTATTTGCACTGAAAACAATAACTAACCCTTGGCAAATAGAAAAAAATTGATCATCTAACTTTTCTAATCTGTATGAAATCAAGGTATTCTTTTAAAGAATTTATTTATTTATTTTAGACAGAGGGGAAGTGAGGGGGAAAGAGAGGGAGAGAAACACCAATTGTGGTTGCCTCTCACATGTTCCCCAATGGGGACCTGATGGGACCCACCACCTAGGCATGTGCCCTGACTGGGAATCGAACCAGTGACCCTTTGGCTAGCAGGCTGGTGCTCAATCCACTGAGCCACACCAGCCAGAGTGAAATCAAAGAATTCTTTATGCACAGACATTCACAAAAATGTATGTCATCACTTACAAAAAGAGTAAGACATTGATTATAACAATACTTAAATGACTAGCTTTCTTCTTGATTTTATTGCACATTGTTCTTTAAGATTCTAAGTGCACATAATTGCCAATGTTTTTTTCCTGTAAGACATTAGGAGTGTTAGGCTGCCTCTCATCGCCTCCATATCTCTCTGACCCACCAACTCTCGGCCCTTCTCCAGTGGCTGAGTCGTGGCGTCAAGGTGAGCAGCTGCTGGTTGTGCCCAACCCAGTGGGTGCCCTTGAGGTAACCGCCAGATTTTCAGCTGCCCGCTAATGGGTGATCGGGCAAGGGTCTTGGCCAGTGCTCCTTAGGATTTAGCAAACCTAACAATCACCAGGAGCACTCATTAAAAATACAGATTTCTGCCGCTCATTCTAATTTACCAGGTCTGACAAGGACCTGGGAAGGGACTTTTTAAATGAGGTGCCAGGTGACCCCTGTTACTAGGCACTAGTGGACACATCAGAAGATAGCGATGCTGACCTGGAAGCTGCAAATGTTCTGAAACAGCAGCGTGCTGAGGACCCCTAAGTAAGCACAGTGCAAAGTATCGGTCTGTGAAAACAACAGTGAATTCAAAGATTTAGTTGGGAGCGATTTACCTCAGAATGTGAAATAAAGTTCACCAATGAAGGGGAGATAGCCAGAGAAGCAGCAGCCCCTGAGCACGGTGCTGAGCCGCACCCCCCCGCCCCGCCCCCCTGCACCAGGCCCCTTTCCCGTCCAGACCTAAATACTGCCGGGACACGCTTCCCACTCCCTCCAACAGTGTGTCACATTAACATCCCATCTGGACACACCTTGGAAACTGTGGCCCTCTAGATTTAGGATTGGGGGGTATGGAGACCAGATTTAAGTTCAAACGAGTAAAGTTGAAAACGTTATAGCTGAGAAGTCAGGATAAAAAAATCATTTGAAAATCAGAAGAGAGAATGAAGTCAAGAGAAGAAATCCTGAGCCTGCAGTGCGACCCAGTCCGTCCAGCGGGGTGGGGTGGGGAGAGTGGGGAGGGGTGGGGAGAGCCGGGAGGGACGTGGAGAGAGCTTTGCTTGGCTGACGTCAGTTGGACGTTCCATCCAACTGCCCCTGGCGGGGATTCCAGCGCCCTGAGCATGCCCAGTCTGTGTGACCGAGTTTCCCCAAGCAGAACAATCAACAAGATCACCACCATAAAGGCTTTGCCACCACCAAGCCTGTAAAGTGACCACTGAAAATCATTCCCAAATTTGTGCTCCATGGACCCAAGTTTAGAGGGAGGAGCTCGTTTGGTCTGCAAACATGGTTTCAGTTCCAGTCTCTAACTTCTTCCCTCTCAGGTGCTCTGGTCTCCACTGAAGGGACAGCATTTGGTGAGATGCAGCCATTTTGTTGGTCAGCAGGAGCTCAGAAGCGAGAAAATGTCGTAGTGGTAGAATACAGCATCCTCCTCCTCCTCCTCCTCGACAGCAGCCCGTCACTGGAGCTTCCAGGTCATCGTGCCCATCAAGCGAGGGGGGGAACTTTCAGTTAGAGAATCTTATGTGAACCTTGTATGAGAAGCCTGCCAACCTGCTTCTTCGCACTGTTAGCCTACCGTTTCGGATACTCAGGTGCTATCTCTTCACCTGAAATAGCAGAGACATGACTCAGGGCAAGGAGGAGTCTGTAGGTAAGGCTCACACTCTCCCGAGGAGTTGGGTGTTTTTGTGTCTGTGTGGCCACGTGCCTCTGCGGGGCAGGGGGTGGTGTGTGTCATGGCGGGAGGTCCACACCCTTAAAGGTTGTCTGAGAAGCTGTGCTGAAGTAAGTCTGTCTCTCTGCTCTTTCTTAATTCTAAAATGATAAAACCACACTGAGCGTAAATGACCAAGGATAGACTAGGAGCCTGGAGATGATTACGTAGTCATTAAAATGTATAGTCTGCCTGGCTACAACACAAGAAAGACCACTTATTTTTGTTAATGTAAGAAACATCCAAACCTGTACATAAATTTTATGGCTTATTTGAGCTAAATGGATGACATAGGCGGGGGAGCAAGTTCTTAAATGTTCTGGAAAAATCACAGTTTTGCAGTTTCATGTATGCATTTGAAATTAAGGAGGGAATCTAAGAAATATTACATAAACGTGGGAGGAAGCAAGGTGGGGACTAAGGTACAGGACGGTTAACAAGGTTATGTGCTCTCCTGAGGGCGGTAGAGTCTTGTTTCAAAGGGGTGTTAACCTAGATGCACAGGAACCATGAACAGGCTTGCTTAAAGCACAGCTAACCCTTTGACTAAGAAGTGATAGGCTAGCCCTGACTGGCCTAGCTCAGTGGATTGAGTGCGGGCTGTGAACCAAAGTGTCGCAGGTTCGATTCCCAGTCAGGGTACGTGCCTGGGTTGCAGGCCATAACCCCCAGTAACCGCACATTGATGTTTCTCGCTCTGTCTTTATCTCCCTCTCTTCCTTCTCTAGAAATAAATACATAAAATCTTAAAAAAAGAAAAAAGAAGAAGTGATAGGCTTGTGTGGCTGGGTGAAAAAAGTAAAGGGATTAACTAAAAGGCAACACACACACACACACACACACACCCTGAGGTGTGACTAGCCACCGTGACCTGCCCATTTAGGAGTTTATGATCAGATCACCCTGATCTGTGGCTGTGAGGTTACTTCTTTGAAGCCCTTTTTTGTTTTGTTTTGGTCCACACTGTTTAACCTTAAATACTGATTCATTAAGAAGAATTCTTTGTAAATATTGTCTCTAATTTTCAAGTTTGGTTGACTTTCTGCCCTGCCAGAAAAGACTGTGCTAAGGGCTCTGCTGTTGAACCTGGAGGCTTGTGGAGAATCACCGTCTCCAAAAGTATGTCTTCCGCCAACTTGCTGTGGGGCCTAAAACTACTCAATCTCTTTGACTCCATCATTTTTTCCGGTTTCCGGAGAGCTGTCTTCAAGCACAAATATTCCCGGAGCGTGCGCATCAAAAACCTTTAGAATGTTTGTATCAGGGAAGAGCAGGCTTCCACGAGCACGGCGGGGCCACAGGGCGGACCGGCAGGGCCCAGAAGGACAGAGGGTGTGCAAGGGGGAGACGGAAAGTGTGCCGAGGGGGGACCATCTCCCACGCTGCCCTCTCAGGCTCTCGTCGGGTGTCAGCGCCTCCGTTCACGGCACCCGAGGGCTGAGCCTTGCTGGAAAGGGTGCCAGGCAGGGGACGCCCACAGAACTGGAGGGACATGTAGAAATCTGGCATCTTTCCTCTTTTCCTCCACATTTAATTTAGGTTTGGGAAAAAATGCTTAGCATCGGTGAGTTTTGAGTATGTCAAGTGTAAGAAATATGAATGAGACACAGTTCCTGCCAACCGAGAGCCGGCAGTTAAGAAGCAGGGGCCGGGGGTGACAGAGGGAGGGAGAGAGAAAACTTTTCTGTGACTATTGATTATAATGAACAGGAAGGCACTGTAGCATAGATTCAATTCATTTTTTTCCATGTATTTCAGAGACTTTTGGAGATATTAACCTCACTCTTGGCATGCTGAACAAGGAAGATATTATCAGCAAGGTAAGAAAAATAGAGAGAAATCCCCTTCCCATTCACTTTTCCTAGTTAGGTTATTTCAGCATTTCACACCCGTCCTTCTTTGCCTCAACCCCCTCTTTTCTCTCTGGTTTCTCACGTGGCAATCATTTCGTCAGAAAATGCACTTTCAATGAATGTCATCATAGTCTCTAAACAATTACATTTGGCGTTGGAGGAATCAGAGTACCCAGTTCTAGAAGTTAGCGAAGAATGCCCCTTTCCATAATCTTTTCGAGGAGTGTGTGGACAAGGGGATGTCGGACTCACAAGCCTGTGGATTGCAGCCTCCTCCTGAATAATCTTAGCACTCCCCTGAAAATCCCAGAAGATCTCCTGTGGTTGTCTACAATGCTGATTAACAATTAACTGTTCTTTCCTCTGGGACGCGAAGGCTATCTGGCTTCATTAACCTTTTGTAAAAGAGCAACAGCTACCCTTTGATGTGCACTTACTGTTAGCTTTGCAAACAACAGTGCATCAGAGTACATTCCCTCCTCACGGCTTCACGAGGTAGGTATTGTGAGCTCCATTTGACACCTAAGGAAAGAGAGGCACAGAGAACTTACATGCTTCGCCTCGGAACAGCAGGGCTGCATCCCAACACAAGCCTGTCTACCCGCAAAGTAAGGCTCCTGACAGTTACTCAGTGTAGCCGCCCTGAGAGGGACGATGCCTGGTCTTTTCTCGCTTAGTCCAGTGGTTCTCTACCCCGACTGCCGGTGAGGGTCTGTATTCAACGAGAGTTGTTTCACATGTGAAATACAGACACAGTACCTTGAGGCGGCATGCTGGGGCTGATGGAGATTTCAGAACCCCAGTCTCTCATCTTCCAAAGGCCATGGAGCTGTCTGCAAGAGCCTTCTCACACAGCGTCTGGTCAAGCCGTACAATTCTCAGAGTCTGTAGCTCTATCCACACAACAACAATAGCAAATTTCAACTTTCTCCCCACAAAGGCATGAATGGAGCAAGAGCCTATAAAACTCCCTTAGGAACAAGTCCGGTAGCTTAGTGGCCTCTTTGGGAATCACGTTTGTTCCTAAATACCATGGCCACTCCCTGGTAGCAAGAGCAACAGTTAAGTCGATGGGCATTTCCATTCCCTCTGAGTGCCCCACCACAGTGATTTCAAGAGACCTTGATTGTCAGGTAGTCCACCCTTGCCATCAGTTAGACTTTGCCATAGGAATGTAGTCAAGTTAAAATAGTTTTTCCCTGGCTGGCGTAGCTCAGTGGATTGAGCGCGGGCTGCGAACCAAAGCATCGCAGGTTCGATCGCAGTGAGGGCACATGCCTGGGTTGCAGGCCACGGCCCTCAGCAACCGCACATCGATGTTTCTCTCTCTCTCTCTTTCTCCCTCCCTTCCCTCTCTAAAAATAAATAAATAAATAAAATCTTTTAAAAAAATAGTTTTTAGAATGAACTTTGCTCTACCTAAAAGCCCTCAGCTCCTAAAGATGCATATTATGTTCAGGAAGCCCAAATTAAGATATGCAAAAATCTGTTGTGTAGTAGAGATACCTTGCTTAGTTTAACGGTGGTATTCATTTGGGCTTCCTCTCATTCCTTTCGTTTTGCAACTCAAATTTCTGTACATCCCTGGTATGTTCACAGGAAGAGATCTACAGTCATCTGACTTCCATTATTCAGAACACTGACATCTTGGATGACGCCATCGTCCAAAGGCTGATTTATTATGCTTCTAAGGACATGAGAGACAACAATGTAAGTTTGATGGTTGACAATGAATCGGGGGCCCAGCCAGCAACAGGGGTCTGAGAGACCCAACCGTACCATGTAGACATCCACAGGCTTCGTGCACATCGCTGCCAGGGCCATGAATTACTTTTATTTGTTCTTCCTGGTAACTTGGGTACCACAACAGTGCCTGTTATTTACCCTTTGACAGATGAGGAAACTGAGGCAAAGCTAAGAAAGACATTAGAGGTAATATTATCCAATCTACTTTTATATGAGGCAGTTGATGTTTAGAGGGGTTTTTTTTTTCATAGTAATGACCTATGTGTCGACAGAACAAATGACTAGAACTGAGTTTTCCTGGCTCCCATATAAATTTTATCTTTTTACGTGCCTACTTACCTAGGCTCGTAAGCATTGTATCTGAAAAATTATTTGCAGAAATTATTTTGAGTCCTGGGATAATGATATTTTCTCCCAGAAAGGACATTTTACTATTTTACTTGCTTACCTACCAAGGGCATCAAGAATGTATGATGAGAACTTCAGAGCTTGAGATTGTGTAGGCAACTTCTCAGGAGTAAGGCTGACCAGATTTACCTGGTTCACCATTACCAAGAGCAGAAATCCCTGCAAGTATCCCTAATAACAAAGACGTTATTAGATGAAGACAGCACTAACACCCAAAGCTCTAGACTCCTAGCCCCAGTTTTCTCTCCTCATGGCCTTTCTACCACCATAACTCCACCACAGTACTTCATATCACCCAGACATAACACATAAATCCTGTGTTTACAGTGTCTCATCTATCAGCGAAAAAGTGTGTGTTTACCCCAAGTTTACAAGAATCCCATTATGACTTAGTTTTAAAATTACCTCTGATTTCCCAACTACTGAAAGCTACCCTGAAGCTTTTGCCCTGGGTTTATAAACAGCCCGTTCTCCGGCTGTCCCAAAGCCCGGAGACCTCACAAATATTATGCATTCTATTCCTCTCTGCAGACTTACTCTGTTCTTCCTGTCCTCATTGCTGTTTTCCTTTTCTTCCTCAGGTCCCCAGAGAGATCAGAATGCTGGCCGGTGAGGTTCTGGTGTCTCTTGCGTCACACGACTTCAACTCTGTGATGTACGAAGTGCAGAGTAACTTCAGGATCCTGGAGCTACCCAATGAGTTCATTGTGCTCGCCCTGGCGGAGCTGGCGACCAGCTACGGTACGGAGAGAATGCTTTGCATGTCTTCCTGGGAAACAACCTCCTGACTAATTGTTGAAAACCCCAGTGGGAGCATGCAGCAGAAGGGAGAGTTTCTCTACTTTGTGCCGAACTAAAGAATATTGATAGACGGATTTGGGCCACTGTGTATGGGCCAGCATGAACCTGCTGACCGCCACTGGCCCGTGCTGCTCTGACTTTGGCTGGATTCCCCCCACCCACCTCACCTTCCCTTTCATCCAGCTTTGTGTTTGCAGAAGCACATTGTCCACAAGGTATATGCTGCAAACCAATGAAAACGTATACGAAGCAAGGGTTTCTGAAGATGCTAGACCCTCGGGATATAGGAAAGTTCTGATGAAAGGGATGAACATTAATGAAATAATTATCCAAATAAGTAATTGCTACTAAACTTAGGTATAGGCGGCTGTGTAGCTAGTACCTTACATTAAGCCAGTGATTCCTTAATTCTCTAACTAGAGCCTGGCATTATGGAGGGGGTGGGATGGAGAGCATCTTCCTACTGCACCTCTGGACACGCTTGTTGTTAGCCCGAGGAGGAGTCACAGAACTCCCCTGTGTGGGAAGGTAATGCCTTTCTTCTCTGGCCCCTCCCTGCAGCGTCCCAGAGCATCCCCTTCATGATGATGACCCTGCTCACCATGCAAACCATGCTCAGGCTGGCCGAGGAGGAAAGGATGAAGGCCGCTTTCTGTGTCGGTGGGTGCCCCGTGCTTTCTGCTTTGGGGCCAGACTATGAATGGAGCAAATATCTCATTTTTCTTTCAGTCCAGTCTTTCCCTTTCTAATAGCTCCATTTACTGAGTGCCTACCATAGGGAAGGCCCTCTGCAGAGCGTTACCAATCCTCATGACAATTCTGCACAGTGAGTACTTATTAGACCATTTTACAGACAAGAATCATGGAAGTTAAGCAATTTTCCCAAGGTGGTGACAGAGCCAATGAGATGCGGAGGTGGCATTCAAACCTATGTCTGTATAAGCACCTGATCTATACTCTTTCCACTGCCTTGTGTGGTCTCCATTTCTACTGGCCTCCTTCTTTCATTGGGCCACAGTTTCTCTACAATGATTACAAGGGCTTAGCTGCTCTTACCAGCTGGCTAAATTTTAACATCTCTTTATAATGCAATATTATAATCATGATAAGTAAATAATCTAATTAAATATAAGCAATCTTAAAATCAAGGAAAATAGGTAAGCAAATTATGGTCATGCACCCCCTCCACCTTCAAACTGAAATGCATCTGCAGTGATGAAGGGTCTGCAGGACCAGCATGCCCTGGAATGCCCAGGAAGGAGCGTTCACAGCACAGTGAGAGGCTTTCTGGGTGAGTCCAGAGACCCAGACTCTTCTCTCTGATTGGCCATTGAGGCATCAGGCACGTCCACCCTTCACTCAATCTCAGTTTCACCTCTAAAAACATCAAATAGCCCTGGCTGGCATAGCTCAGTGGATTGAGTGCAGGCTGTGAACCAAAGTGTCGCAGGTTTGATTCCCAGTCAGGGTACATGCCTGGGTTGCAGGCCACGGCCCCCAGCAACCGCACATTAATGTTTCTCTCTCTCCTTCTCCCTCCCTTCCCTCTCTAAAAATAAAATAAAAGAAAATCTTTAAAAAAAATCAAATAAATTGAGTGCTAAGATCCCTTCCACCCTTAACATCCCCAATATGATTATTTTTGCATTACTTGAAAGCCCATGCTGTCAGAAATATCTTCTTTACCTACTTTCCATTCCTTTTTTGCCCTTTTCCTATTGTTCTGTCCTCAGGGAAGGTAATATTTACATCTGATATATACGAAGAGTGGACTATGTGTCTGAGCACTTCCTTGGGTGCTACCTTGACCCCTCACAGTAATCCCATTAGGTAGATAACATTTTCCTCCAGTTTGAAGATGAGAAGATTAAGGCTTAGAAAGAGTAAACAGCTTGCCTGAGGCCACACAGCTACTATGTGGCAGGGCCAAGATTTAAACTATAACAGTCTGACTCAAGGACTTGAGCACCTACACTAGATTAGCACACTTTCCAATACTCTTTGCTATCCCTGCTTACAATAACAGCTCACACTGTCTTCTGTAAATAAACTTTGGTACCTCTGGTAACATTTTTACTTGCAAGATAAGCAAGCAAAAAAAAAGTACAAGAAACAAAAATCAGAAATCATTATGGCAATGAATAAGGGAATTATCTGTCTTTGTGTTGTAATGTTATTTAGTGCCATTTGGCCCTAGAGCAACTTCTGCCCAGCTGCCACTAAAGAAAAGGCATAACATTCAATAGCTGTCTATCTACCCACCTATCTATTCATTCAACCAATCAGCAAATAAGTAGACCCTGGATCTGCTGCTTTGAATGCCATCCATACATAAGACATTATCCTGTCTCTCATGCTACTTGTAGGCCAGTGTGACACACACACACACACACACACACACACACACACACACACACACAAAAGATTGTGATAAAGCATAGCAGGAGATTCTCAGGAAGAGTTTGGAGAGAATGGCAGCTCCAAAGCTAAGATACTTGGCACCTTTTCTAGAGTTTTCTTTTCATAGGAAACTGTGATTTTATGCATCATGCATGAAAGGGGCAGAATGAGGGCTGAAGGAAAAAATAATATTATTTATTACATTTGATGCATACACGTATGGGTTAGTGGCCCACATGACATTTTTATTGGCCCAAGGTCTTCCAGGCTGCTGAGCTGTAACAAAGTGAACATGTTCATTTGGCCATCACTCAGGTCAAGCAGTGGGGCATTACTAACCCCCCAGAGGCCTCCCTTCATCTTCCTCCCAGCCCTCCCCCTCTCCACCCTCCCACAATCTTGACTCCTACCACCATAGATCAACTGTGCCTATTTGTCAGATTCCTATGTGTTGCTTTGCGCAGCTGTGGTCTGTTTTCACTTCTGTATACTATTACACGTCTACAGGAAAATTTAGTTTTTCAGTGTAACTTTTGGCAGACATATGGACTGTTTTCTTTGGAGCTATTACAAAAAAAAAAACCATAGCCCTGGCTGGTATAGCTCAGTGGATTGAGCGCAGGCTGCAAACCAAAGTGTCTCAGGTTTGATTCCCAGCCAGGGCACATGCCTGGGTTGCAGGCCATGACCCCTAGCAGTCGCACATTGATGTTTCTCTCTCTCTATCTCCCTCCCTTCCCTCTCTAAAAATAAATAAATAAAATCTTTTTTAAAAACCCCTAATATGAATGTTCTTGTACAAGTTTCTAGTGCCTATATGTATGCGTATCTAATGAGTATTTACCTGGAAGTGGAATCTGGGTCGCAGAGGTCACGTATTCAGCTTTGGTCGATAGTGTCAAGTGGTTTTCCAAAGTATTTGTATTAATTCACAATTCCACCAGCCGTATGTGAAAGTACCAGCTGCACCTTAGCCTTGTCGACACTGGACGTTGTCTTCGATTTTAGCCTTTTTGATGTTATGTAATAGTATCTTATTATAGTTTCAACATACATTTTACCAATGTGACGGAACACTTTTTATATCTTTACCTGGTATAGTCGTGAGATCTTATAGACTATTACACTATATTCGCTAATCATCAGTACTCTCTTTTCAAATTATTTTATGATCCTTTCCACCTTTATATTTTTTGCTCAGTTTGTCGTTGTTTTTAAAATGCAGCCCTTGAGAAGTTCAGCAAGGCCATTTACAAGTACATCAACCACTGGAGAGACTTTCCCTACCCCAGGCTGGACGCCAACCGGCTGTCCGACAAGGTCCTCATGCTGTTCCGGTACATGATGGAGAAGTGGGCCCCCGGCGCGTCGCCTGAGCAGGTGAGTGGGGCCTCCGCCTAGCTCTCCTCCTGTGCTGGCCCAGCCTCCTGCTTTCTTTCTCACAGGATTGTTAACTGCATTTGTGTTTGTTTGTTTGTTTGTTTGTTTGTTTGTTTGGAAAGCTATGGGTTGTGTTTTATGAAGTTTATCAAAACTTCCATCTTTCTTAGTGCTAATCAGTATTTATTCATTCTTCCAACTAATATTTATTGAACCGGCATGACTCGCCTGACACAGTTCTGCATGCTGGGGACACGGCAGAGGTTAAACAACCCAGAATCCCCACTCTCATGCAACTGCCATTCCAATGTGTGGAGAGAATGATAAACAAGTTAAAACAAAAAAATACATGGAATGTTAGCTCCTTCATGTCATATATCATAACTGATATTTGGGCTGAGTCACTGGTTAGGAAAAACAACAGTCCGCAGAACTTTCCTGTGTGTATGGCTATCACAGTGAAATAAAATAATGTGTAAAGAATTTGGTTGCCTGCTTCAAAATACTGCAATGCTTTGTAGAGACTAGGTCACAAAGTACGTATACATAAATCGTATCCTTATCTTGCTTAATTGCTATCATTTTTTCAAAGTAGGCTAAATGAGACTCTACTTAATCTCCTATGGCTACATTTTAAAAGATTTAACACTTAACCACCTTCTCTAATTCAGTTTCTTTTCTATCCTTTAAGCCATTAAGGTATTTATTTTCAACATGCTGCGTTAGTTAAATTATTCACAAACATGCCGTTTTTAAATTATCCTATAGAAGTCTTTTCTTTGGGACACCTGAAAAACAAAACTCAGTACAAATCCGATGGCTGCCTTCCTAGCTTCCCACAAGAGAGTTAAGCCAGTGTTAGGAAGCCATGTAAAGTAATAAAGGAACACAGAGAGTAGTGCTGAACTGTTGTGGTGAGCGCTGGAAAGGCTGTGGCATTGGCGCTGAGCTTCTGACCCCTGGAGTCGTTCACTACAGGGCAGGTGCACTCCCTAAACAGGGAACAGAACCTACTGAAGCAGAGGTCGGGGACAGGGTCGCATGCACACTTGAGTGAGCCTGGCGGGACAATGCAAAGGGGACGGGGGAAGAGAGTACAGAAGCAGAAGGAAATGAAACCAGAAAGGTCTCAGCTACGTAATGAAGAACCTTGAATGCTACTCAGAAGTTTGGACTTTTTCTTTTTTTAAGAAATGAGACACCTTTAAAAGATTTTAAACAAGGGTTTAAGTGCCAGAAAAATCATTATAATATCCATGCTAACGGTGAATTGGGCATAGGGGTGGAGTAAGACAAAAGGTATAGCCTCAGTTAGGAGGCTATAGAAACATTCCAGGTCGTGAATACTAAGGGGATCAAATAAGTCACATGCTGAAAAATAGGATCAACAGGACTTGGCATCCATAATGAGGAAATGGAGTAATCTGGGATGACTCTTAGCTTTCCAACTTGAATAATATTGGGGCCATTAATCAAGATGAGAAAAAAAACAGAAAGAATAACATATCTGGGGCAGTAGGAAAAATGGGTTTAATTATAGACATTTTGACTTGAATGCCTATGGGACATCCAAGCAGAGATATTAATAGGTTTGGGGATATTCAAGATTAGCAAAAACTGGATGCACAGATTTGGGTGTCAGCTTTATATAAGTGACAGCTGCCTAGGTGGTTGTGAACAGAGTTGTTCAAGAAGACTGCAGGTTCAGCGATCAGAGCAAACTCTTCGAATGTCTGCCAACTGTGCTGCACACCCAAAACTAAGGCAAAACAGTGTTGATTTCAAACTTTAATTGAAAAATAAAAGGTAAAAAAAGAGCATGGGGAGTGGAAAAGTGCCAAAAATCAAGTTCGGGGTTGGGGGGGGGAGGAACATTTAAGGAAAAGGAAAGGAGGAAGCACTCACAATGGAGAACTGAGAACGGGCTGCCAAAGGAGGAGAGGACCCAGCAGAATGAGATCTCACGACAGGAGAAAGGAGGCTTTGTCAAAGAAGAAGAGAGATCTAGGATTCACGACATAGTGTTCAAGCAAGAGAAATCTTGAGAAGTATTCCTTTCACAGAAATGTGCTAGAAGAACAATCCCACTGACACACAGTCTTGAGTGAATTAATGGTGGTTGTAATTTGCATTAACTTTGTAGGTAGTTTTCTATATGGCAAAATTTAGCTAGTAGAAAACCATTCGTCATCTGATATCAGGCAGAAAAAGTAGAATGTAGAACTATGTATTAAAGAATGATGTCAACTTTTTAAAAATGGAAGTGCATAGAGAAAAGATTTTTTTTAAAGTGAAAGAAAGAATGTATTAAAAAATTCACCCAGCTGTGATTATCTATGAGAACTGTGGGTACAATATGTTCTTCATCATGATTTGTGGGATTTCTAAACTTTTGTCATCAATACATATTGCATTTATATTTGTTCATTTTGTATGTCAATGGAAGCCAGATTATGGATTGGGGGGATAAATTGGAGGGGGAAGAGGATATAGCAAATGGAAACCACCCCTTCAAAAGACTTTTCTCTGAGAGTAAGAAAAAAACACTGAATGAGGATAATAGTCAGTCAAAGTCATATGGAATCAAATAATTTCTTAATATGAGGAAAATTTTAAAAGTGTTGGTATAGAGAAAGAAAGTACTAGAGAGAGGTTAAAGAAATAAGAGGGACAAATATTGAAATGAGAATCAACATAGATATAAATGTTGATAGAAGTAGAAATAGAAATGTAAATATAACTGCCTTGTGCAATGATCTTAGCCTAAACATTTTTAAAGGTTTTAGAAACATTTCTTGGTTGAAAGCAGTGAGTCAAGTTTGGCCAGGGGATGGGGCTCTCCATCTCCTGGAATTCTGAGAAATGTGTGAAAAGCATAACGAAGCACTAGAAGTGCTCTCTCTCGGCCACCTCTGCAGACCTTGTCCATCGTCAAGGCCCACGGCCCCACAGTGAGCCTGCTGCTCCACTGGGAAGACCTCTGCGAACATGCCCTGGGCCAGGTGCCCTGGCTCCTGAACCAGTACAAAGACAAAGAGACTGACTTCCACGTCACTCAGGTAAGAGCCACGCCCTGAAGGAACTGATTCAGAGAGCCCACTGGTAACCATCTCAGAGCACACACAGTCTCGGGAGGGCCTAGAGAACGTCGATGCCTCTCTGGGCAGCTGAATTTAAAAATACCTCTTTGGAAATATGAGGCAGCGGGAAGCTGGCATAGCTGGATGATGGAAATGCCAGAAAAAAAGATTATTATTCCTTTTCTCAGTCTGCTGAAGCACTGAACAAGGTAGAAGGGTAGGTCACTTAAAATAACAAAACAAAACTGCTAACTCCAGGAATGTTACAGATTTGTTCAGAGAAAACACAATTATTTGCCTTCCACATCCTGTGCCTGCTGCTTCATGGGCAGCAGCCTCCAACTCCCCTTTGATTCTAGAGCCTCAAGCAAATACTGGCTGCAGCCATCCTTTACGACATTGGCCTTCCAAAGGACTTGAAAAGAAGCATCTTCGTCAATCTGCTCCACCAGGTAAGAAGGCCACGCCATCCAATCTGACTGTTTTGTTCGCACCAGGGTTCTGTTTTTAACATCCACCGCCCTCTTTTCCCTCCTCATTCAGGTGTGCAGAGCCCCAGAGCCTCTGGGGCAGGAAAATGAAGTCGAAGCTTCAAGCTGCTTCCTCCTCCTAGGTAGGACCAAATACTCAGAGGGTTCCGAATAGAAATGTCTCCAGGTGACGATGGTGACAAAGATGAAGGGTGTGCAAACTGTCAACATTAGTTACTCTCACACATACACACACACACAATGTTTCCTCATCTCACAGTGTTCCATGCCTGTCCTCATCTTACCTGTTCCCAGATGAGTGCAATATACAGGGTGACTGGTCATCTGGACACAAAACTCTCAGTTGTAAAACCAGAAAAGTGTCAGGCATATTTTCATTATTAACCACTTAATTAATTTTGTGATACTAAAGAAGAAAGAACATAATAAAATCTAACTATGAACCTAAGGGGGACTTTGACAACCCTCATGGAATTCCCCCTTCCCCTTCACAAATATTTTCCTTGAAGAGGAAAATGAGTTCTTATGATGCCAGTGTTTCTTACACCTGCAGCCCATTCCAACCCTGCAGACCTGATGGAATTTTTTGATGAACAAATGAGAAGTAACAATGAAGCCAATCGGAGGGGAATCTTGGCTTTGTTAAGAATGGTTATCCTTGCTGAAGGTGAGCCATGGGGAGGAGGCCAGAGTGGTTGGTTTTGTCTCAAGAAGAAAACTGAAGTTTACTCATGCTCTAATCCCCTCCCACGCCTTTGGGATGTTTACACAACATCATAGTCCAGTGAAACTCTGTCTTCTTGGTTGTCTACAATTTACTGATTTTAAACAGCCATTTTTCAGTTACCTCCCTTCTTTTATTATATTTATGGATGCACTGAGTTGATAAAGACACATAGAATATTTGAGAATTTAATTTAGAATTTGGAAGATCTAGTAAGCTGGTTAAGTGGCCCAATAAACAGGCAGTGTGTGAGAAAAATTCACAATATTGTAGAGGTTAGTACATATAGGAAAGAGCAGAATTTAATGAACTATCATATTTCATTAATTCCCAGAAGCACATATTTTCATAATATTGGAAGATATCTTATGATTGACAGCATTTTTCATTATAATCAGCCACTATAGTTTTTCCTTTATTTGATGCAATATAAAATAAGGGTGCTTCACAACACTGATGATAGCTTGGATTAATAAAGTATGATCATTTATTTTTGCCCTACACCATAATAGCTTTTCAGTTCAGTTGGCACTGGGATTTACTGAAGAATCGAACAAAAAGTATGACGTAGTCCCACAAAATTTAAAGCTGAATGTATTGAATTCGCTTTAGGCTCTAACTTAATTTTACACAAGATGGAACCAAATGTAATAAGGAGCTAAGAATGGAATCAACATCTTTAAAGAGCTGGAGAAGGAGAGGATACCGGGATAAAATGGGGACACAATGTTAAGGGCAAGAGACTTTGCAATTTTGTCCTGTAACTCTAATGGGTTGTCATCAACCCTAGAACATGCCATGCTCCTACTGAGCCATGCCTCTCCATTTCTCCTCCGCCCTCCAGAGCCCAGACTGAGGGACCACATCACTTCAGTTGAAAAAACAGTGAAAATCGTCCTGGGTGACCCCAGTGTGAAAGTAAGAGAATTAACAGGCACTTTTATGTGGTTGGTGGTCATGTTAGGAGTGAACCAAACAGTTTTGATGGTTTAAGGATCTACGTATGAGACTATTTATAAAGAACTTGGATCAATTCTATTTTTAAAAGAACTCCATTTTTCCTGAAAAAAAGTTAACCCAATTAATATCCAATTCTAAAGTACATTCAGTTCAAGGGCTTCTCAGCAGAAAAAAGCATTTTTGCACACAGAATCATCGTGCAATGCTCTTCAAATAGAGCATTTAGAAATAAGTCGTTAATTATAAAAATAATATACTTCCCTCCAAACAATAATAACCCCTGACCTTGTTCTGTGAATAGACATCCTATTTTCCAAGCAGGGAGCAAGTAGAGCAAGACTTACACATAATAAATTGCTCAATATTTCCAGATTATTTGACCAAGTGTTTCATGTTAGGAAAGATACAGAATTTATGCTAATACAAATTTTTAAAAATCAGGATTTGTTGCATTTTTTGTATGAAAACCATATTTCGTTTGGCTCAAAGCCCTACCCAGAAGCCAATCTAGAAGAAAAAATTTCCCTAAGAAGCTTTGATTGACTGTGACTGTGTTTAAAATAAAAAAGTTGTGCAATAAATAACAATGGAGTAATTATACAGAAAAATCTAGCCCAGTAATTGGCCAAGCCAATTAAAGAACTATTGGATTTTAGGGCAGAATAAAAGAGCACAGAAACTTTAAGGAAGGGCAGCTCCTTGGGCAGAAGCAGAGAGAAGGTGTGTCTCCTTTTCCTTCCTCCTGTGAGACTGCTGGGTGACCTTTGTGCTAATTGCCACCACTTAGCTCTGCCTCCCCGTTCCAAAGCGTCCTTTCCTTCCCAGCCGCCATTGAAAGACCCGTTCACTAAGGGATTAGATCTGAGCTTTTTATCCTCCAGGGAAGCAAACCACTAAACTAACTGAAGCCAAATTTTTAAAAAATTTGTAACACAAATTCCTAACCCTTTATTCCAGTCCTTAGGGCCACACATATTTCAGAATTCGTAGTTTTTCAGATTTCAGAAAAACATTACCACGACAATAGCCCACAGTCAGAACCATTGATATTTCTGCAAGAAAATGTATGGCTATCCACACTACATAAAATAAGGCCACAAATAGCTTTAAAAGATCTCAGTTTGGGTTTTTACCACTAATGAATTGGCACCAAATTTAAAAACTAAAATCCCAGTTTTCAGAGGTGTTGGATTTTGAATTTGTGAATAAGGGATTGCGGAACTTTACTTCAATGTATTGTCTTCCATTGAGGATTTGTTTTTAAGATTTTATTTATTTATTTTTAGAGAGGGAAGGGAGGGAGATAGAGAGACAGAGAGAAACATCAATGTGAGGTTGCTGGGGGTTATGGCTTGCAACCCAGGCATGTGCCCTGGCTGGGAATCAAACCTGGGACACTACATTGAGGATTTTTAAAGTGAGGCAGCATTTTAGCCCAAAGTCACCAACATCGCATATTTATAAGAACAGAGGACATGTCTTGGGAGCTAGAGAGAAAGCTTTTGGTTAAAGAGAGCTTTTCTGGTGACCTTTTAATCATAACCTACAAATTATTTACTGATCTACTATAGTAACATCATAAAATGTATACCCTATTTTAAAAAGATCCCCACTGAATGATCCATTCAGGATGAAATGATATTCTATCATTTGAAAGAATAGAAGCTAAATTTCCACTCTGCCCTACGTAGTAAAACGTTGCAAATGCATTTCTCTTACTCTAGGTGAGAAATTCCACCCTCCTCCTCATCCAAACCATGTGTGAAAAATGCTACATCGAAGCCAGGGAAGGATGGCCGCTGATCCATTACGTCTTCTCCCAGTTTGCGATGTCCAACAAGAGTCTGGTACGAAGAGGGAGCAGTTTCGAGGGCTGCTCCGTAGCAAGCTCAAGCTCGGGCGACTCGACTGCGCTTTGAGAGGAAGGGCTGGGGTTCGACGCAACGACTGAGTTAGAAGTAGTATTTCACTCTCGTTACTTTTATCATGTTTTTCAGCCTCTAGCGTTATCAGTTCCCTTTCACTGACATCACTTCTGACCTGGACAAAACACAAGGCAGTTAAATCACAGTTTTCCCTGAGGAGGAGGCAGCCTGGCCCCCAAGGCTGGCGGGTGGTGGGGGGAGAGGCGGAGAAAATGAACTGTTAGAGAGCATGAGAGACAACGGTACTTGCTGCACCGGGGTTGGCTGTGTTCGTAAGATCTCAGTGATTTTAGCAAGTTTGTCACAGCTGAAACTGCAGTCCACTCCACGAGGAAGCATGGCCTTTGACATTTCTGGTCCCAGAGAAAATGGCAAAGGCCTGCGAGGCCGAGGGAATGGCCATGGTTCAAGGAGCCTCGCCATTTGCTTTTCAGCTTCAGCCAGGGGTGTTTCTCCTAACCCGTCCCTCCAAGAAGCATTGCAAAACAGGGACTGGATGCTGAAGACCAAGGTGTCTGGGCCCCCGGAGCCTGTGCCGCTGAATGACTGCATTCTGCACCCACGGTCTGAGAGCGCACCCCCGTGCAGTCAGGGGGGACCCACAGGAGAAAGCATTAACACGTCGCTTCTTTCATGTTTCTTAAAGGAGAAACCAAGGAAACCTCTCTCCCAAGAGGACGAAAAGGGAGAGCAATCTGTCCGGGAAACAAGCCTCGAGGTCCTAAAAACGCTAGACCCGCTGGTCATTGGGATGCCTCAGGTGAGGGGCCTTGGTCACCCCTTACAGTTACTGTGATCACCTTCCCAGAGCTCCGCCCATTTGGGAGCAAAGACACAAGTGCGTGTCATCGGCTCTTTGATGCTCTGACTACAGGAAGGTGATTGTGATGCCCAGGGCCCAGCACGTAGTAGGTCCTCAAAGACGGGTATGGACTTACTCGATTAATTAATCTCTTGTAACTGGGATAGCAAATGACAGTTTCTAAGCACCCTAGTACATCTCTCCTCTTCTTCCCCTAACATTCCTGGCCGTGCTGTTAAGTGGCGAGTGGTGGTTCTAATGCAGTGAATGCTAGACATCCCCAGTCATCTGGGGATGTGTTAAAAGCTCATATCCTCAGGTCTCACTTGAAGCCTAATATAATCTGAACCTCAGGAGAGGGGCCTTGGAATCTGTATTTTGCTTAAGCTAAACAACTAGAGAAGGGGTTTAGTGGTCAGAAGTACGTGGTAAAGCCAGGAGACGATGCATGGCCAACATAAGTGGACCAGAGGCTTTATCCAGCTGGGGCACGTGAGTGGACCCAGGGAGGCAGTGCCCGAAGCACCATTCTAGCGACCACCCATGGAGAATCACTGATCAGCCCTCACTACCACCAGCAGCTGGAAGTGAATGTGCCGTGCAGAGATTCTGTTTAATGATTCCGTTTTGATTTGGCCTGAAGAGCAAAATAATAAGTGGGAAAATGGTTTTAAATCAGAAGCAAACACACAGCGAGGACCCAGGAGAAATAATGGAAAAGGATAAGCAATCCTTGCATCTTGGCCTATGTCTTCCGCAGGTGCTCTGGCCCAGAATCCTGACTTTCGTGGTACCTGCGGAATACACGGGCACACTGGACCACCTCTTCAACATCATCAGGATTCTGATCATGGCAGAGGAGAGAAAGAAGAGGAATGCCGTGGAGTCAACAGCCCTTGTCATCTCTACGGGAGCTGGTTTGTACATTCCCAAACGATGCAAAACGTTTCTCTTGTCTGAGGCTCATGTCCAGAAAGTCTGCAGAGCTTTGGCCGTACCCCCAGCCCCGACCTGAAACTTTCTAGCCCCCGCAGCAATAACAAACGTTGCTTTCTCTTTCTAGTGAAACTTCCCACACCGCAGCAGCTCCTGGCCAGGCTCCTGGTGAGTGAGTTACAGATAAAAGTGTGGGATAAATGGAAGCTAATATTGGTAACTCAGTTCTGAGCAAATGCTAATAAAAATTACTAATACTCCAAACCAAAAGAAACACTAAAGGCATAATAAATGTTCTCCTATACCAATGATACTCATGGAAATTTATAATTGCCAAGAGTATCTTCTCACTCTGAAGTGCTTGTTAAACTTCATGATTTTAAAATAAGCATAGGCCGAATTTGATCCATAAGTACTGTTCAAAATGCATCTGTTGTTCAGATTGCATTTTCTTTTTTGCCCCACGTGTATTATTTACTCAAGCACTATTTCCACATGCCCTTCTTTAATTAATAAATATATCTATGTTGGCACCTTTTATTTATTTCTGCTCTAGAATAAGTGAAAATGGGCTGTAGTAATTTATTAAAAGATTAGCTAATGGCCCTGGCTGGCATAGCTCAGTGGATTGAGCGCGGGCTGAGAATCAAAGTGTCATAGGTTCGATTCCCAGTCAGGGCACATGCCTGGGTTGCAGGCCACGACCCCCAGCAACCGCACATTGATGTTTCTCTCTCTCTCTCTTTCTCCCTCCCTTCCCTCTCTAAAAATAAATAAATAAAAATCTTAAAAAAAATAAAGATGGAACTACTTTAAAAAAATGATTAGCTAATGTAAGAATCAAGGGAATCCAGGACAATGATAAAAGGGAAAATGTAGGTGGCCTTTTTTTTTAAACTTTTTTTATTGTTGTTCAAGTACAGTTTTCTGCCCTTTCCCCCACCCCTCCCCACCACCCCAGCCTTCCCCACCTCCCTCCCCTGTTTCCACCCTCCCTTGTTGTTGTCCATGTGTCCTTTATAATTGTTCCTGCAAACCTTTCAGCCTTTTCCCCTATAATCCCCTCCCCTCTGCCCTCTGGTCACTGTCGGCCTGTTCTCAGTTTCAGCGTCTTTGGTTATATTTTGCTTGCATGTTTGTTTTGTTGATTAGGTTCCTGTTAAAGGTGAGATCATATGGTATTTGTCCCTCATCACCTGGCTTATTTCACTCAGCATAATGCTTTCTAGCTCCATCCATGCTGTTGCAAAGAGTAGGAGCTCCTTCTTTCTTTCTGCTGCATAGAATTCCATTGTGTAAATGTACCATAGTTTTTTGATCCATTCATTTACTGATGGGCACCTAGGTTGCCAATGATACCTCAGACAAGGGTTTGATCTCCAAAATATATAAAGAACTCTCACATGACTCTACTCTAAGAAGACAAGAAACCCAATTAAAAAATAGGCAAAGGACTTGAACAGACACTTCTGCAAGGAGGACATACAGAGGGCCCAGAGACATATGAAAAGATGCTCAGCATCACTAGCCATCAGAGAGATGCAAATTAAAACCATGATGAGATACCACTTCAGACCCATGAGGATGACCATCATAAACATAGCAACAAACAGCAAGTGCTGGAGAGGATGTGGAGAAAAGGGAACCCTAGTGCACTGTTGGTGGGATTGCAGACTGGTGCAGCCACTTTGGAAAACAGTACGAACTTTCCTCAGAAAACTTAAGATGGATCTGCCTTTTGACCTGGAAATTCCACTGCTAGGATTACATCCTAAGAACCCTGAAACACCAATCCAAAAGAACCTATGCACCCCAATGTTCATAGCAGCACCATTTACAATAGCCAAGTGCTGGCAGCCTTTTTTAAAAAAGTTTTCCCTTGTAATATTTATCTTTTAAGTTAAATATATATATAAATATATAAATATATATAAATATATATATTTATAACTATATATAACTGTTCTATGTAACAATAAAGGTAGGTAACCTTTTAAACACCCTGAGTTGACCAGCATTTTCTCTCTGTCCTTCAGGTCATATCCATGCTTGCCAGTTTAGGGCAGTTACGTGGTGCTGGTGCAATAGGACTGTTGAAGATTCTGCCTGACTTAATCCACCCCAAATTGGTCAACCTGTGGAAAACCTGCTTACCCGAGCTCCTGAAGCCTCTGGAAGGTACGCGGGACTGTGCTCAGTCTTTACCCAAGGAAGCAAGAACACAAAGAAACGCAGCATCACTTCTCTGAATGAAGCCACTGTGTTCATTTTAAGCAATCGAAACAATGAACTCGATAAGCGAGGGGGACCACTGTATTTTTCTTGACTGCTCACGTTCTGTTTCTCTGTCAGACTACTCATACTGCAGCAGGACCTGGTGGCTAACATCCTTAGCAGAAACTTTAACTTTTGCCCTGGTCTTTTACTTGTGCTCAGAGAAACTCTGTGTTGGTTTGTTCTAAAAAGTTATCATTCATGTTAGAATATGGAAATAATGGTCATTTCAGTCGTTACTGTTGACAGTAGCAAAAAGTCTAGATTTTTACATGGATGGAAGACCCTCTTCCCACCTGACTAGCACTTGAAAGTGGGCAACATGGTATACATTTCATCTGACATAACCATCCCATGTGGAAACAAAGCTTGCAATGGAACTCTGGCATCCTCTGGGGACCTTGGAAGGGAGCAACTGAATCTGGATTTGGTGGACAGTTATGGCATTAATTTCTTTTTCCAGGAAAGAACACTAGTATCGTGCTATGGGAAACCATGCTGCTTCAGGTAAGGGTAACACCTGGGTTCATTGTTGATGATGAGGCGATAAAATCAGCTAAAGTTACCCATCTGGATTCCAAATGGCAGTCAGTGATATTTCCTTTCTTAGGAAAAGGGCTAAAATGCTAAGGTGATCACTTAAGAATTATGCTCATTAAATCACCATAATTTGAGCAACAATCTTTAGTCTCCAATTTGATTAAGAGTTTAAGACAGTTTGGAATATTTCACTTACCAATATTTTTCTCTGTGTCTTAAATCTTCTCCAGTTTTCAGGGTTTTTGTTTTTCTGTCCTTACAACTGCATTCTTTTGCCATTCATCTAAAGAAGCACAGACTAAAACAATTTTCACTTCCATGCTTCTCAATACAACTCCGTTTCCTCCTCTATGTCGGCTTCTCACTGTCTTTTCCCGATTTCTAAAAACCAAGGGACCGTGTTGGAGAGTCTTCAGAAAAAGAATCTCCTCCTCTCACAAAAACTTTTTGGACTTTTGCAACTAACCAGAGCCCCCAGTGATGCAAATTCCCAAAATGGTCAGTTGCAGACAAGAGTTATACACTGGATTTACAAGGAGGATTCTGATTTCAGGAGCCTACAAGGGGTCAAGGAGCCCATGAGCAGGGAGCTCTTGATCTAGCAGAGGAATTACACGTGCTTCTTTTATTTTTTTTCTTTTTTGAGGGATTTATTTTTTAAATTGCAGTTTCCTTTCAGTATTATTTTGTGCTGGGGTCAGGTGTATAGCATAGTTAGACAGTCTCATACTTTACAAAGTGTTCCCTCTGATATTTTCAGAACCCAACTGGCACCATACACAGCTATTACGATACTATTGATTCTCTTCCCTGTGCTGTAGTTTACATCCCTCTGGCTATTTTATAACTGACACACAGCTTCTTGTAAAACGTCAACTTTCAGTGGCCTCCCCACGGCACCTCCACTTCCCATTACCAGCCCTTCCAGAATCAGACTCTCAGGGCAGAAGGTGGGTGGGTGTGAGAATCGGCAAATTGTAAAGGCTCCCACAGTGATCTTTACCCACTGCCCAGTGTGAGATGTAAAAGCTACCGTCTACTCTGCTGGTTGTTAATCCTAGGATCTGCCTCTTCCCCACATTCATGTTTCTTTTATCCTCTACCCACCGCCCCTGACCATCGAGATTCCTACCTTGTGTTCCCCTGCTGCCATTTTACACTAATTGTTCTTACTAGGAAAAAGTTTCTTTCCCTAGAGAGAAGCCTTGAGGACAGAGTTTCCCTGCCCCCTTCCAATCTTGTGTATGCTTCTAGCCTTCTTTCAAAACTCTTCGTAGCTTCTTCCCCATCAACTTCCAAGGTTGTTGAATTTTTTTTTCTTCAAAGGACCCACTCACTGAATGAGTTCTTATTAAGAAAATGCAAATGGGTTTCTTCCTTGGCTTTGAGATTAAGTGTCCTTTCGTAGGCTTAGAGGAAATACAGGTAAAATAATAGCTTTTAGAAATTGCACTGGATTTTGTCCTCCAAAAAGACACAAACCCCTTTTTATGTAATTGTTCAATGAGGAAGGACATGGGTTCATGTGACTGATTGTGGCCTTAGCTCAGAACAGTTGGCGAAACTGGGAATGTGTAGTCCTTACAGCTGAACTTAGCAAAAAGTGCCTGTGTATCTAATTGGTTTTTAAAGACATCGATTTCTTTGTTACAAAAATGTCCCTCTTTTTTAAGTATATAATAAAGCAAACTAACACTGACTAATGGGGTTTTTCCAAATCTATTCACAACTTGGAAAACCTTAACTTCAATTTAAGCTTCAGGATAGATTACCTTTTTTAAAGTTTTTAAGCAATCTTTCTTTAAGAAGAAGAAAAAAGACACTGACCTGGAATTACTTCTACATTCTGTGTAACTAATTCCTAATGGGGATTCAGAACATGACAGAATATGGCTTTTAAAATAAATGAAGAGGAAAAGTTCTAAAGTAGTTTTTTAATGAGAAATGGAATAATCTTATTTACTGTATGTTTCTACTTTCGAAAAATAAGATAACGAGAAAAGACCAGGAAAGCAGCACACTAAACAGGCACGTGTGTGTCTGCCTTCCACTTCCTCCCGCAGTTGCTCAAAGAATCGCTATGGAAGATCGATGACGTGGCCTGGACCATTCAGCTGAGCCAGGACTTCAACCAGCAAATGGGCAGTTACAGCAACACCTCTGTGGAGAAGGTTGGTGTTCAGTGGAGGGGCCTGAGCTGTACCTCATACTGCGAAATGGCCGCTCAAGTTCCAATTTGTCTACGCTGCCATCAAAACAAGGGAGGAATTGTTAGAAAAATGCTGCCTTCTCTTATCTTACCCTTGTCCAAAAGTTACTCATGGGGCCGCAGCTGTCTGAGGGTACAACCGAGACGTATTGTGTTTTCAGGATAGATCCGTGCTCATGAAAATTCAGGGGTTCTGTTCTAGAGAAGGAAGAAGAACGAATACTGGAAGGCAAATAGCAGCCCCGCCATAGCACTTAGCACATAGCTTGTGTCCAGAAAAAATTACGAGAGTTTAACAAAAGCTTTGAGCTAAAAGAATGCTCAAAGGCCAGTTCTTTCATTCCTCTTTCTCCAACGAGCCTTTACCTAACCCTCCTCACTGTAGCCATCCATTTCGAGGGGGGTTTGAATCCACTTTCTGCTGCTTGCTCCTTTTGTAGCTTTAGGTAAGTTGCTTAACCTCAGTATACTCGCCAATGAAATAGAGGTTATTCCCACCTCCCAGGGATGAGGTGTTAGGAGGATTCAATGAGATAAAGTATATAAAGTCATCAGAGTCTTGCTTTCCAATTTTTAACATTCTGTTGCTTGTCCCTTGTTTTCCAGAAATTCCTTTGGAAAGCCTTAGGGACCACCTTAGCATCCTGCCAGGATACAAACTTTGTAGGCTCACAGATTAAGGAATTTCTGACTGCTCCCAACCAGCTGGGAGATCAACGACAGGTAGGACCCCTTTCTCTCAATTTCCTCCTCTGACAGTGGTAATTAAGTCCACCCAGAAAAACCTCTGTCCGTCTCATGATAATGTCTTACATGTCTAGAATTATCCATGGATACCTTCAGAATAGCCCAGCAAAATTTTTCAGAAAAATGACACATCCCTGTCCAAATATCAATGCCTTATTATTTAACCAGGTTTGTAAAAATATTGAAAAATGAGTTGTATCATTCTTACTTCACAAGAGTATCTTTAGTATATTTTGACATTGGCTTTATAACTTGAATATGATCACAAACATCAAAAGCACTGAGTTTACAAGTTTAATGTAAACTTACATACCAACAGTCCTCAACCTAGAGAGAGTGTGAGTATAACCTGGAAAGCGTTTGCAAAACACTTTTACCTGCCCTTACCCTAGCCTGGGCTGGAGAGCACATCTGAGTGTGGAGGAAGGGGAGGATGTGTATTTTAAACAAACAAACAAAAGAAACCCCCCACCAACTCCCTGGTTAATGAGGATCACCTAGTATAAAACAGTACTGGGTTGTGTTATCTACTCTCCTCAGGAGTTCCAAAGTGTTTAGTGCTCCTTCCCCCACATTAAATGTCCAGATTCCACCAGACCTACTCAACTTTTGAAATTGCTTTTTTTTTTTTGCTATTATTTCTTTTGTCCTAGTCAGATATTTAGTTGTCCATTAGTGCCCTCGGTATTATTGCTAACACCATCTTCCCTACACTGATTGCTGTTTCAGCTCTGCTGTAAGCTAGGAAATAAAGCAAGTTTATTGAAGATATAAGCATGCAGTAAGGCTCTCATTCAGAGTCTGAGGGGTTTACAAACTTTAAAAGGCAAACTTTATGACACCCATTTGAGCTTCTTTAATTCCTTTGCTGCTTAACTTCACTTCAAGTCTCAGAGCATCCCACACACTTGCGTCACTTAGTAAGTGATCTCTGAACGGGGAATGTGTCAGCGCACGACGTTCGTAATCCTGTGGCCTGTTGACTTTCCGGCTCCTAAGCGCGACTCACACTCACGTAATGCCAGACTTCACATTACAGAGTGTCAGATTTGGATTCAAATCTTGGCTCCAGTATACTGGCTGTCCTCCTCAGGTTCCCCAAAGTAAAATAAGGGAAAATAAAATGCTTCTGGTGAGCAGTTTCAGAGGAAGAGAAGGTCTGTGGCAGACTCTGGCCAGCAGAGTCCACCTGCTGTGGCTGAAGACGAGACTAAATGCACAGGCGACAGCAATCCCATGGAGAAAAGGGGGATGGCCTCTCTCTCAAGCGGAGAGTGCCTCTGAGTGCCTCTACCACTCTCTCAAGAGCAGAGCATGCCGACCCTTGCCTAGACAAGCGTTTATTGTTTTTCTTGGGTCTTACCTCAAAGAAGGATTTATTATCTATTACATAGAATATTATTGTCCACATTTTAGGTACAATCAAGGAAATGAAAATAACACACACAGAAGGGAAAGGTGGTAAGTTGATTAGCTCCGTCTTTGGGAAAGTTCACACAGGCTTTGGAAACTACCTTGAAGACAGACGATATACATTTACTATTGTAGACCAGGGTGAGGGAGTTTTAGCCAGAGCAAGCCATAGCAGTCAGTACGCATTTCCTAGGCCTGGTTCCCACGGGAAAACTCGGCTTGAAGGTCTGGCTCCTGCCCACCACCTCGCTTCTGCAGGTTTTCCATCCAGAGCTGAGTCACATTTGCCAGGCCAAAGCAAACCGGTCCCCTACAAAGGTTTGATATTGAGAATTGCTATGAGGAACTAGAGAGAGGCATCGAACTATGCGAAGACAGTCGGGGATTTGTGCAGATTTGAGGGCCCTGCTGACCGTCTCTGCGGTATCACCCTTTTTTCAGTAGCACCCAGAAGACCAGGTGTAGGCATAGGTGACAGGTAAATGGGAGAGTCGGATTATTGCAGAGCTTGGGCTTTGCCAGACTTAAATGACAGAGAGGTAAGGACACACAGAAAAGTTGGGGAAGAAACAAGAAGGAAGATGGAGCGGGAGAGAAGAAACACAGAGCATTATGGGGTGAGAACACAAAAAGGCAAAAAACGCAGAGAGGATTATATCTCTGGCCATGACCAAGGAACAGAGCAATGTCAGGCCACAAGCCTTGGAGGATTCTTCCAAGAATTGTCTGGTGATGGAGGCTAGGTGGCCTGGTACCTGGGGACTAAGAGCGGTGCCGGCTGAGACCGTGGTAACAGTGGTCTAGCCCCCGGGTTCTCTAGCAGGGCTATGCGATCAAACCAAATGAAATGGGGTTCATGAACAAATCATCACGAAGGTACTGTGGTGAAATTGGCCCGGGGTAAGAGAGGTGGAGAATGGAGAAGGTGGGTAGGAGGGAACATAGCCTTAGAATGCCGAACAAGAGCTACCTGTGGCTTTCAAAATCTTAACCACTAAGACAAAGTTTCAACCACAGAGCAATCCTTTTAAAATGTCAGTCAACTCAGCCCTGACTGGAGTAGCTCAGTGGATTGAGCGCGGGCTGCGAACCAAAGTATCGCAGGTTTGATTCCCAGTCAGGGCACATGCTTAGGTTGCAGGCCACGACCCCCAGCAACTGCACATTGATGTTTCTCTCTCTCTCTCTCTTTCTCCCTCTCTTCCCTCTCTAAAAATAAATAAATAAATAAAATCTTTTAAAAAAATGTCAGTCAACTCAAGCTCAAAAACCCCCACCAATCTAAGACTAAAAGTCTAAAACCTTGAATATTACCTAAAAAGTTCTACTGGAACCAGCCTGCACCTCTGCTTTGACCTCACCTCGAGTTGTTCTCCTCCTGGATCATCCACTCAGCCCTCCTTGGTGGGCACGGGGCCTCAGCTCTTGCTTTCTCTCTGCTTGGAGCTCTCCTTCCCAGAGTCCAGCGACTCACCCCCTCCCTCATTCCAGGGCTCCGCTCCGCGTCACCCCACCAATGAGGTCTTCGCTGGCCACCATATTTAAATTGCAAACTTTCCCCAACCAGCAGCAGCTGCACCTTTTTTTCTGTTTCTCTTTTCTCCATTACATCCTTATTGCTATCAAAATACTATATTTACATTTACTGAGTTTGTGTTTATTTAATGCCCCTTCCCTTAGTTGCGTACTCCACAAGGACCAGGAGTTGGGTGCGTGTCTTTTTACTTTTGCACCCCCAGGACCTAGCAAGGTGCCTGCCACGTAATAGGTGCTCGGTAAGTATTTGTTGAATAAGTGAAGGGTTAAACTCAAAAATCTTATCTTTTCTGATTTTAGGGAGTGACATCTATTTTAGGACACTGTGCCGAGAACCACTTGGATACCGTTTTAAAAGTTCTTAAAACATTCCAGGATCGGGAAAAGAGTTTCATGAATCGATGTAAGGTAGAACAAAACAACAACAAAAACAAAAACGATTTTCTTCTCCGAAGCTTTTGGTCATATTGTACTTAAGTCCAGTCCTCAGGCCTTTGTTCCAGGTCGGAACTGCAGGAGCCCAGGCCCCACCGAATGACCCGCTGGGTGACAAGGCTGCCCTATTTTCTGCCACTAATGCCGACCCCGACAGTCCTATGTAGCCTTGTACGTGCTTAGGTTGGTCCCTACCAGCTGCTCCAGCCTCACAGACAGCTCCCATCGTGCACGCCCAGCCTCCCCTGAAGGAGACAGATTTAATGAGTAAAGAGACACCCAAGCCTCCTCGCAGGAAGTTCCATTAAAGCCTGACCCATCAACAATGCAGTCCGGGGCGTTGAAATCTGGACAAACAAGAGTATCTGTTTTAGACAAATTTTCCCCACCCCAGTCTCATTTCTTAAACCCCTGTACTCGTCCGTAGGGTTGGGAAAAGACGTACGAGGAACAGAACCCCCTTCTGCCCTGTTTTTCCATGCCTCTCCTTGTCTGCAGGGTCTCTTTTCTGGGAAGAAGAGCCTGAGCAAGACTGATGTCATGGTCATCTACGGCGCTGTGGCCCTCCACGCTCCCAAGGCCCAGCTCCTCACCAGGCTTGACCAGGACATCGTATCCCAGGTCCTGTTTCTCTATGGCCAGTGCTCTCAGGTAATGGCCGAGAGAGGTGGCTTCCGTTTCCAGGGTGGGGTTCCCCAGCCCTGGAGGGGCTCAGTCCTTGGGAATGTTCATGCTCGAAGAAAGGGACAGGCCGAAGGCAAGACAGGATCTGGTGTCTACGGGAGATGGGAACATGTGGGAGCAGAAACATTTACTATGAGACGGAGTCGGGTAATTTGTTTCTCTCCTATGTCCTACCGCTCCCGTGATGCCCTCCCAGACCAATGGTACCCATAGTGGTCTACCCACCTTTGAACTTCCAGCAATTACTCCCATTCTACTTTAAGGCAGCTGGTGTATCAGCTGTTTCTAACAGCCTCTAGAATGTCACTGATGGTATGCCATTCACCAGCCTACCCGATCTGCCTCAGTGTCCTGTCTCCCCCTCCACCTTCGTCCCCGCCACCCGACTGTCCTTGCCACTTCTCACACGTGCCAGGAATGTTCTGATTCTAACTCAGAGCCACCGAACTGAGTTAGAATTCATCCCATCACTTTTGAGCCCCATAGCACTTTGTGGATGTCCAGTAAAGGGCTTCATACGTATTGTCAGTTCAGCCATTTTGCTAACCAATGCCAATGTAGCCACCTAAGAATCACTTAGGGATCAAGTTTAAAACAGCTCCCCAGAGCCGCTTGCCAGGGAGGCTGATTCCGTCGGTCTGGGTGAAATACGGCATCGGTCCTTTTCAAAGGTTTAGGAGCGATTCTTATCCATAGCCAGGTTCGGGCAGCTTTCACTGATTACGTACATGTCTGCTCCCCCCATTCGATGCTGGCATCTCGACTTTAGGGACTGTAGCTTGTGCTCCTTTATCTCCTCTTCGGTGCCTTCCAGAAGCCACCTGCTTGATAAATCTGTGCTCTTGACTTGTATTCATGCGTGTTCGTGAGAAGAATGGGATCGTAGGGAGCGCGTGAGATCCAGATATAAACCTATGCCAGCGGGACAGTGCAGGGCGATGATTCTGACGCCTTAGCCGTGTGAGAGTTTTTATCTGGAGTCTGTTATAAATAGAGATCCCTAGTGAATCACCGTCTCCCACGATGGATCACTGAATCTGTCCTTTCTCACCATGCTCCTCAAAAGATCATTCTGACGTACCCAAAAGCTGAGACACAAGGATGAGACTAGAAAACACAATTTTTTTAAAAAAGACGTTTTAGGTTACGTTCATTTTCAGTCCATCACTGAAGGAAATTACGGTGAAAATAAAAGAAGAAAGGAGATAAAGATGTTTTGGGTAACGATGACTGTCCGCTTTCAAGGGACAGTCGGGTTTCCTGTGACACGACGCAGTCACCAAGCAGTACAAGAAAAACCACAGGGATGATGAGGAAAGTGGGTGGAGGGGGACAACGTTTTTAAAAACCCATCCGTGACACATTAAAAAAAACAAGAATCTATGTTTAAAACAATGTTTAAAAACAGTTAAGTATATATAACAAAAAATTATGGCCCTCTTCCTTCAAAAACGCCAAACGTCAATTGTGAGAGTTGTAAAATATTTTGAAAGGGTGGCAAAGAAAAGTTACCTGAAGTCTGACGGACAGTCGTAATGCCAGACTTGGGCGGGAAGTGCTCACAAGACAGTAAGCTGAGGCAGCTGGCAGAGATGTGCTAAGGGGTGAGTGTGAGCATTTTTCCGTGGCTTGGCTCAACTAGGGCACCACTCCGCTCTCACAGACACAATTGTGCACATGCACACGCAACCTCAAATTGCTACAAGTGTTCCCCCATACATCAATCTCACTGCAACGAATCTGCATTCTCGACACAGACGTTATAGCAGAACTGACTGTATCCAGTTCCAAAGTGCGCTGCTCTATGAACGTTCCTTTTAGAAGATTTCACTGCTCATTTCACCAAGAACCTTCCTACCAAACCACAGAGCCTGAAAACCAGTGGCTTAGCATCCTCACGCCACCTCCTGCAGGGCAGCCACGACCCACCCAAGGGAAAGCTTCTGCCTACAAATGAGCCTCACTTTGAAAATGGGGGGGGAGTGAACAGACCCCACCCTTTGACGAGACGGGGTGTCCTGCTTCTCCGTGTCCTTCAGGCTGAGGGATGGGTCTTTTGCTGGGGTGTGGGAACTCTCGGACTGCTTGCTCCAGTGTCTTTTTTTGCCTTTGAATTTCCAGGTCCTGGGCATGTCTGTGATGAACAAGGTGTGTGGCATATTTGCATATATATGTTTGAACACAAATGCTGCTCCCATAGATTCCTCTTGATTGGATTCTGGAGGAAAAGCATCCCAGCCTATAAGTCATGAATCCAATTCCACAGCCAGGAATCCAGAGCCTAACCTAGGACTACACAGGTTGCTCCGTTTGGTTCCAGGGGGTTCAGAAGTTAAAACTGTGGACTGTGACCCGTCAGTATATTAGGGAGTTAGTTTCATGGATCTCAGCCAGCAACACTTTTTATAGTGAAATAACGAAGAAGTAGAAGAGTACATTGCACATAGCGAGAAGTATCCTAAAACTTTTCTAGACAGACAGATACAGAGATATGGTTCCTGTGGGTGCTGGGTGGAGTTATAAACTGTTCCCTGCTCTGGTTTACGGTCAAAAAGCTTGAAAGCCCCTACCCTAGGGAAACCTCAGTCTATCGGGCGGTGGGGAGAGGGAGGTGTTTTGCACTTTCCCTGCAACTTCCGCCCTAAACTGAGGTAGAGATGGCCATAGGGCCAGAGCCGCTCACCCCTGGGCATCCGTGTCAGGCCTCAGCCACACGTTTGCGGAACCAGGAGCACTGCCTAAGACCCGGCTCGTGCCTTGAATCGTTTGTGCTTTAGGACATGGATCTGCAGCTGAGTTTCACAAGAAGCATCACGGAGATCAGCATAGCCATCCAAGACACCGGGGATCAGGGGTTCAAGTTTTCCTACAAAGAGCAGCTGCTCGGTCACATGCTGGTGAGTGGGCCGAGAGGACGTGGGCGGGGCCCCGAGGAGTCCCTTCCCAGGGCGCAGGGCTGTCTTTGTAAAAACGGGTGACACTGACTCGCCGGCCCCAAGGAACACATCCACGCTGTACTTCTGCCCGAGGGCACCCGAGGGTCCCGTGAGGCTGTGGCTACACCCGGACGCTCGCTCGGTCCTCTCTGAACCATTTCGCCTCCTTGTCTGTGCTGCAGGACCTCATCAGGGACGAGCCCCTGGACGCCCTAGCCAGCCCCGTTCGGTGGAAAGCCTTGATCGCCATCAGGTACCTCAGGTAGAGAACTTTCTGTTGTTCTCATTGAAAAAAAAAAAACAAAACCAAAAAACAGCCCTGGCAGGCGTAGCTCAGTGGATTGAGCACCGGCTGCGAACCAAAGCATCGCAGGTTCGATTCCCAGTCAGGGCACATGCCTGTGTTGCAGGCCATGGCCCCCAGCAACCGCACCTTGATGTTTCTCTCTCTCTCTCTTTCTCCCTCCCTTCCCTCTCTAAAAATAAATAAATAAAATATTTTTTAAAAAAATCAACAACTCAAATGTTTAAAAAAAAAAACAAAAAAGAAAAGAAAAGAAAAGAAAACACAAACGTTCCCTCCTCCATGTCCTTCGGATTTGCGGATCAGCGCAGGTCCCAGTGTGCCCCCCCCCGCCCACAGCACGCACACAGTCCATCAGCGGGTCACTGCCAACAGGGGCCCTTTCTCTTCCCCGACTCGGAGAACTGACAGGCTGGTCGTCGTTTGATGGCCGCCAGAGGCTGAAGAGCTACTTAGAGAAATCGTGTTTATTGACACAGGGAGACTGAAATTTCTTTTCCAAAAGAAATGTTTCTTCCCAGGTCTAGGCCTGTAGGCAGATTTTTATCTTCCCGTTAACAAAATTGCAAAAGCTCTAATCACATTCTGGTTGGTTAGTAGCAATAAACCTGAAGCAGAAACTAGTTTTAAGTCAATTTTAAAAAATAATATTTCCTCCCTACAGGAAAAGAAATGTAAGTTCATTGCTAAAACTTGGAAACTATAGGAAACTTTTTTTTAAAAAATGATAAAATCACCTCTATTTTCTCCCCCTCTTCTCAACATTTTTTGATGTGTTTTCTTCAAGTCTTTATACGCAGCGGTCCGTATCGATTAGTTCTGATCCTACTCTGCACATGCTTTTCCATCCTGCTTTTTCCTCACTTCTACCTTTTCTATTTCCAAATTACTGCCAATTCTTCACAAACATCAGTTTCTTAATTAAAATGTTTAAAAGTTTTAACTGTGTTGAAATACACATAACAAAGTTTATCCCGTTAGTCATTTCGGAGTGTACGTAGTTCGATGGTGTTCAGCTGCATCGCGTTGTGGAGCCTACACCCATTAAACCACCCTCCGTGCCCACCTCCCACCGGCCCTGGAAACCGTCTTTCTACTTTTTGTCTCCACGAATTCTACGTGTTAGGTACCTAACATAAGTGGAATCATGCAACATTTGGGGTTTCGTGCCTTCTTTACTACTCTTAGAATAGCGTCCTCCAGGTCTGTCCACGTGTCACACATTAAGCCAGATTCTAAAAAGACGATAACGAACAAAATGCGGCCTTGCCCTGACAGAGTGTGAGCCCACTGGGCACGACAGATGTGAACCACAGCTACGTGATTGCTCCGAAGGGTGGGAAGAGGCCAGATCAGGGGAGGCGTAGGTTGCCACGTTTACAAAGTGAGGAAAATTGGCACGTGGCTCAAATTAATAAAGCTTGAACGAGAATTAAGAATTAACCAGATTTGCCCTGGCTAGCATAGCTTGGTGGATTGAGTGCGGGCTGTGAACCAAAGTGTCGCAGGTTCGATTCCCAGTCAGGGCACATGCTTTGGTTGCAGGCCACAGCCCCCAGCAACCGCACATTGATGTTTCTCTCTCTCTCTCTTTCTCCCTCCCTTTCCTCTCTAAAGATAAATAAATAAAATCTTAAAAAAAAATTAACCAGACCCTAGATCAGTATTGTGATGTCAAAACACAATGCAAGTCATATATGTCATTTTAAATTTCCTAGTAACCACTTTTAAAAGGGTAAAAAGAAACAAATGAATGTAAACAATTATTTTATTTAATCCTATATATCCAGTATATTATTTCAACATGTATTCAATATAGAAAATAGTAATGGACCAATCTGCATAATTTTCCTTACTAACTATTTAAAACCCAGTGTGTTTTAGGATGGCAGGGTATCTTAACCCGGACTAGCCACAGCGCCAGTGTTCGGCAGGCACACGTTGCTAGTGGCGGCCCTCACCTGGACAGGACACTTGTCAGAGCGAACGTCTAACGACAGAGGCAAATCGGTGTTTGCCTGGGGCGAGAAGAACTGCCAAGGGGCATACGGAAAAACTGGGGGTGTTAGGCATGTTTTGTATTCATTACAATGGTTGTTCCACGGATGTAAGATCACTTCATTGCACCCTTCCAACGGAAGTAGTTTGTTGTGCCCAAATTATATCTCAGCCAGTTGATGTTGAAAACGTCAGCCAGATAGCAACAATGAGAGACTGCTGCACAGGTGTCAGCCCATCTACCTACCCCTTCCCGACAGAGCTGTCCCCACCGCTCCTGGCTTTTCCTCCCTGTGGGGGGCCAGCGTCACATGGCCCGCCTGGGGAGTGTCATCACTTCTCATTTTCTCACTCATCTGGTCGCTGACAAGTCGTATCAGGTTGTCTTAATTTACATTTATTTAATAACAAATGGAATGGTTCATGTTTTATTGAACATTTGCATTTTGCCAAGGTGTATCCAGGTTTATTCATATCCTCATGTATATTAAAAAAAAGGGGGGAGAGAGGAAGGGGTCATTGACTCACTTGTGCATTTATAAGAACTTTTGGTATGTGTGACACTACATATAACCTGAGAAAACAGATGAAATTGGTAAACTCGCTGCTCCAAACTTAGAAATTCTCTCTCTCTCTCTCTCTCTCTCTCACACACACACACACACACGAGCACTAGTGCAAACAAAACGGCTCGTGTTATCACAGGTCATCTACTAAAGGGTTAAGTAATGCAGAGCAAGCGGCAAGCTGCTTATAACTCTGATGAATGATACTCAAGGCGTGTTGATGATGGTCACTAGTGCAGTCTCATTCCGTGTCCCCAGTCGCTCTCTCCCTGCTTCTGTCACCTCCTCCCTCAGCATCCCAACATGTCAGAGGGTGTATCTGACCCCTTCAGACATGACAGGCAGTTTGGGGGACTTGACCGGGTCTGGTTTTGTGTGTCATCGTGATGCCCACTCCTCCACGTGGTTCTCATTTCAGTAAACTGAAACCACGGCTCTCCCTAAATGACCACCTTAACATTCTTGAAGAGAACATTCGGAGGCTGGTGCCCCTTCCACCTCTGGAAAATCTCAGAAACGAGGGTGAGACGGACAAGGACAAGGAACACATCAAGGTAGCTGGAGTGACGCCCAAGTGGAAGGAAGAACCCAGTGGGACCTTCGTCTCACCCTCCCGCTCGCATCTGGTTTCAGTTTCTCTACGAACGGTCCATGGATGCTCTGGGAAAGCTGCTGAGGACCATGATGTGGGATAACGTGAAAGCAGAGGACTGTCAGGAAATGTTCAATGTGAGTAAGGCCACTGCTCAAACTGATCCCCCTCGCGCCGAATCTGTGCGCCAATCCACCACTCAAAACCACGTCATCTTCTTCGCAGGGAGGTGTCCACTCTGGCCCACTCACCCTCCCCTGCCCATGTAGGGCTGGTCCACTTACAAATAGTTCGTGGGGAGGGGAGCCCCCGCTCCAGACGAAGCAGAGAGGGGGTGGGACTGAGAGAGAGTGGCAGCGAGAGCAGGAGGACAAGAATGAGTGCGTGCGAAGTGCACCAAGGGAAGGACGCTTCTTCTCTGACCAACAGCTTCTCCGAATGTGGCTGGTTTCACAAAAAGACTGGGAAAGAGAAAGAGCCTTCCAGATCACCGCAACAGTGCTGACAAATGACGTCGAGGTGAGCGATCTTCTAGAATGAATAGGCATCAGTGCTTGCTAAGAGCAGGAGTCACCGAGGCCCCTGGAATCCAAAACTCTTACGCAGGATGGGTCTCCAGTCCCAGCTGGAGTGCTTTCCAGACAGGTGTCTCCCAGCGCTCGGCGGGGTGGGGGCGGCAAGCCCCTGGGAACAGCATCTAGTTGTCTTTGCACGCTCGGTTAATTATTTTCCCACCGCCCTTTAGGGGTAAGTCCAAGATTTGATGTCATTCTAAGGACCTGCAGAGAGAAAACAGGGACTGCATATCCAGGGTTGGGGATATATGCGGAGGGATTATCGAGCCACCCTCTTGCCTTGGGGGCCTCCTTTGTCCCGCAGGCACCAGGGAACTTTAAAATCGGCTCGCTCCTGGGCCTTCTGGCTCCCCACTCCTGCGACACCCTGCCCACCATCCGCCAGGCCGCTGCCAGCTCCACCATCGCTCTGTTCTGTATGAAAGGTGAGTGAGGGGCACACGAAGAGAAACTACCGCTCTCAGTTTTTCCTCGTTGTACGTATGTATCTCTCTGCTTCCTCTCCTCTGTTTCTCCTTCTCCCTCTCCTTCCCTCCCTCCCTCCCCAGCTCATCCATATCCGAGGAAGGGAGGCACCATTTCAGTAAGAGAAGAAATGTGTTCAAGCGGGGACCCCCGAGGAAGGAAGGAATGTGAATTCCATTATTGTTCTACCTCTTCTGCCTTTAGCCCCCTGTATTCCCTTGAAAGATGCAAAATTCAGGTCTTCCAACACTCTTTGTTAACAAGAAATCCCCTAATTTGTGATTCACTTTAACGCATTCTCCTGATTAATTAAGTAAGCAGAGTAGAAAGGAAGAACATCAATATTAAACACCTACTGGATATAATTAATGACTGTAATACTAAATTAAATACCCATTTGATACTCATGGATGGGACTCGGTCAGTTTGAGATGAGGCATCTGAGGTCAAAAATGTGCCGGTACCTTGGACTGCTGGACTCGTGGGGCTGGGCTGTGAGCTCAAGTCTGTGTGGCCCTAAAGTCTTTGCGTGTTTGCCAGGCCAGGTGGCCTTCTGCCGAACCATCCAGGCGTGCGTGTCCACAGTTACTCTATATTCAAACAACAAGCAGAAAATCATTACAACCTAGGCCTGCTTTTGTAAATGGAGATCAGCAAGCACCTACGCAGGTGCTGACGCTCCTGTTACCAGTGACCTTCCCGTCCCCCCACAGTGGCTCACTGCAACCCCCCCCACGGCGGCTCGCTGCAGTCCCCCCACGGCGGCTCACTGCAGCCCCCCCACGGCGGCTCACTGCAGGAGGGAAGGCCGACGGGGTCGGCAGGACCGCTCAGCAGCGAGAGCCTGGGCATCGCTGTCAGGGTGTCAGGCAGACCAGGGTACACACCCTGGCTTCCCTACTTTTTACTCGCTATCATGTGGCCAAATGGCTTCCTATTTCTGCCTCAGCTTTCTCATTTGCAAGATGGGGACAGTAACAGGGGAGTCTACCGCAGACGACCTTTCTGGGTAATAAGTGAGGTCATTGTATGCGAGGATTCCACACGGTGCCCGGCAGGTAGAAACTACTCAGCACACGTTTGTTCTTACGTTCGCTGTCTCGTCAGACGGTCTTCATGGTGTCCCACAGCGGAATGAGCATTGCATTGAAATACAGCCAGCCTCTTCAAGGTCTCTCAGGTCCCTGAACTCTTACCTGTGTCTCCTACTGTTGCTTGTAGGTATTCACTTGGAGATGGAGAGGCTGCAGGATTTGCAGGAAGGGCTACAGTGTGATGACGTGCAGGTCCAGATCAAGATTTCTTCTAAAATAGCAAAGGTAATAGACACGGAGGCCTGGCCAAGGGGTGTCAAGGTGATTCTGGTGGACTTTCAAGTGAGTAAGTGTGTATATCTCGCTACCGAAGAGGGCAGTAGTAGAGCCACCCAGGCCAAACGGAAGCCCTTTGTCCTGTCATTTGCGAGCTCTGGGTTGACATGTGCCCAGTCGAAGCTTGCTACTGCTCATTTCACAGTCCAGGAAACCTCATCAGCCAAGCAAGTGGTCCTCTGCAGGTGGAGGAAGGCAGTGGGGTGGAGGTGAAGGGACAAGGGCTGTGGGGTCAGTCAGGTGGACTCCGTGTGCACTGCTCGAAGCTCCAAATCCTTATCTCCAAAAAACTTCCTGGACTGCCTGTCAGAGTTGTCGTGAGGACGAGTCGATCAATCGTCCATTTATTCAATCATCCATGTATTCACCTAATATGCCCTGTGCACCTACCATGTGCCAGACTTCGGCCTAAGCTCTGAGAACAGAGAAGGACAAAATGCCTGCACTCACCGGGCTTACATCCTAGTAGAGGGAGTCCACCAAATAGACACCATGTCAGGTAGTGACTGCTGAGCAAAATAAAGTCAGGTCAGGAAGGGGTGATCCCCCCGAGATCGTCACTCTGAAAGAGACAAGCAGGCAGACCAGGGGAAAAGGGCACTCCAGGCAGAGAGGGAGCGGCAGGTGCAAACACCTGGTGTTGGGGAAAAAAGCAGATAACGAGGTCCAAGAGACAGCCCAGGGCCAGTTCAGGAACCTGCCAAGCCTCGGTAAGGACCCTGGCTTTTACGCAATTGAAATCTAAAGCCAGTGGAGGCTTCAGATTTAAGGGGCAGAAGGGTCAGGACGACCCCCTGTAGCTGTGCCGCCTGAGGAGAACACACAAGGGCACCCCCACGGGAGGCGGCATCTGGTCTAAAGCAGACATTGTGGATTTGTGTGTATTCTGGCGACGACCCACAAATGGCAATGAAGAGTCCAACAAAATCAGTCAGAATTGAGGACAGGACACCTTTATCTAATTTGCAAAAAGCCTTTTATGGGTTAGCGATAGTTCTCTGAGGAGGAACTAACTAAATTTTGATTTCTGAAGTGTCCAACTGCCGTGTTTACCCTAGAAAATAGGCCGGCGAGAGTGACATTAGTGAGCCAACTTTGCAGAAAACTACAAGCATCTAGGTGTGAGATTAGGTGACTCGGACTAACAAGGCAGCAGTGATGACAGTGAGAAAAACATCAGAATATGGGAGAGAAGCAAGGTGGGGGTTGGGGGGAACATAGCTCAGGAGCCTAAGGAAGTATCTGACACAGGATAGGGGCTCAAAGACATAAATTCCCTTTCTTCCTAGACGAACACCCATCACAATGTATTATTTTAAAAAAAGGAAAGAAGGAAGGAAGGAAGGAAAAAAGGTAGCCACTGAGCTTGGCATTTGGTGCCATGTAGAACAGACACGCTAGCCTTGCCCTTTGATCTGGGGACAATGGGAAGTCTCACACCAGCCAGGACACGCCAGTGCTCACGGACAGGAACTCAGTTCCTCCCAAGGGTGGTTCTGCTCAGCCCACCTCAGCCCACTTAATACAGGCGGAGTCGGCTGTGAACAGGAAGGTTTTCCTACCAAAGACCCGTAATTATGACCGCCTTACTTGGTTAAAGCCCCGAGTAATGCTCCTGGAATTCTTTCAAACTGCTGACTTTTCATACACTCACACAAACACACACACACACACACACACACACACACACACACACCCCCATGCTCACACACTGCTATCAACCACCATTCTGTATAGTTTTTGTATGTAAAGACCAAACTGCAAAGCTTTACATTTCTGGACATGTGATCGACTACTCTTAACATTGAGACAGAAGAGCAAACTACTGGGCTCGTCATGGTTTGTCTTAGCCAGTCTTTGGCAGACACGAGACTCACTTCCATGCTGTAGGGAAGGTCTGTGAAGTACTTTGGAGCATACAAATTACTATGTACACATTGTACATCATTTTTCCCCTACGGAGCGTCCTGCAACCTTAGTGTGGAGAGAATATTGCATCCGCAGGCCTGGGACTGGATACGTGTAAAATAATAAAAAGGCAACCCCAGGGAAATGTTGCTTAGAGGTAGAAGGTCATGTCTGTGTCCATTCTGAGTGTTTTCTTCAGTGTCTAAGTCCCATGCTCACTATTTGCCAAGGCCTTGGTCTCCAATAGGCAAAAGCAAGGAGTGACAGCACGCTGTACGTGTTCAGACGTGAAGGGTGGCGGTTGCTAACATGAGTGTTTCTGGCACCTTCTCAGATGGTCACTAAGCTCATCCCAAGCGAAGAAATGGTCGTGTTCCTGGAGGAAATCCTGGACGGGCTGGAGACGCTCGGCCCCTCGTGCACAACGGCCTGTGGCGTGTGGATGACCACCGCCCTGAAGGAGCAGGGAGCTGCTCTGGAGGACCAGGTAAACTGACGGCCGGTCGGGCAGCCGAGCCAAACTGCGGCGCCTCTGCAATGCCACTCGGCGGTCGCTTCTCACCTTGTCCTCTGATGGGCAGCAGACACAGCACACGGATCCTCAGGAGGTCTCCGCAGGGGCCCCAGCTGTGTGTCAACAACCAGGCCCGTGCTGACGGACTGCCTCTCTGATCTGCAATCACAAACACCTTCCAAACTGTCCTTTGTTGGCCAGAGAAAGCAGCTCTGAACCAGGGACATTTGGATTATGGAAAACTGGGCTGTTAGACCTTCGAGCATGAGAGTGACCATGTGAATGCCTTTGGGGTGGCCACTGAGGGCCAGGACGGCCTCTAAGGCTGCTGGCACTCTGCTGGCTGGTCTTCCAGATACCTTAGAACCTGTTCTGGGGGAAGGAGGGCTGTCCTTGAGGAACTGATCGAGGGGAAAATCCTCCATCCTTTTTCCCAGCTGGAGAGGGAAGCTGAGAAAACAGGGTTTCCATTGAGGAAGCTTGGCTAAGAGCTCCAAATGGATATGTTCTATTCTGTCTCAGAGTTGGAAGCAGAGTACAAACAACTCAAAGATTAGTAAGAAGGAAAAGACTCTTTAACTCAATGCAGGCATTCCAAGGAGACTGGGAGGAATAAGCTATGCTCCCCACAGCCCAGCGTCACTGTCCTAAGTCAAAGAATTCGCTAACACATGACTCTTACAAACGGCCTCTATGTTAATTACTTCCCAGTCAGTTGTTTGTTTGTTTTTTTTTCAGAAACATTTATTGACTACATACAATTGGAAGGCACTGAGCTAAGCATGGGAGAATCAAAGGTTAATAAATGTAGAATGTTCATGAATTTGTGTGTTTAGCATAAAAGAGAGTTACTCACACAATACATAAAAGGATACAAAAGGGACTTAAATCTTCTCCAAGAATCATTGAAATGAGACTCCGTAGTAATCATGTTATGCTTAACCTAAAACTTTCTATCCAAAATAAGTGAGGGAAACAACTACAAGAAGCAAAGTTACTTCACCATAGAGACACACCCTTCTCCAAGTCAACAATCCGAATATATAATATCATTCCATGCTACTTGCAGAGTAACATCCAAATTCGTAACGGCAGCCTTCGGTGCCCTCTGGGATCTGGTTTCATCTTCCCCATGGTCCTCTTTTTATGGCGTTCATTCTCTCTGCACGCTGAACTACACCATTCTGCGGCTCCTAAAGTCTTTTCTGCATTTGCTTATACCCATGATCTCATGCTGTTTTTTATAGAGATTTTTAAATTTTATTTTTAAATTAAATGTATTGAGGTGACAATGGGTAGTAAGATTATACAGGTTTCAGGTGTACGATTCTGTGACACATCATCTGTGTGTTGCATCGTGAGTCCGCCACCCAAAGTCAAACCATTTTCGGTCACCGTATATTTCAGCCCCTTTCCCCATGTTGACCCCTCCCAGCCCCCTCCCTCTGGTCACCGCCATCCCGTTCTCTGTGTCTGTGAGTTTTTGTTTGTTTTGCTTATGTGTTCGTTTGTTGCTTTCAGTTTTATATCTAACATATGAGTAAAATTATATGGTTCTTAAATATTTCTGTCTGACACTTTGTTTAGCATGATATGCTCAGGATGTAGATTTTATCTTTTAGAGCAAAGTTGAGCAGAAAGCACAGAGTCCCCCCCAATAGCTCCCGCCCCCACACAGGCTCAACTGACGAACCTACATCGACACAAGATCTAAGCACCCAAAGTCCATAGTTGGGGTTCACTCTTGGTGTTGACAAATACATAATGGCACGTGTCTACCACTCTTGTGTCATATGAAACAGTGTCACTGCTCTAAAAAACCCTCTGTGCTCCACCTGGTCTCCTGCTTTTTGACTTTACATCTTCACCTGTATTCTTTCTGATGCGGCTGCCTCTCGCCACCACCTCCCCCCACCCTTGCCTTTTGAAACTGCTGTGTGTCCTCGAAAACCCAGACGAGGGGTCTCTCCACAGCAACCTCAGTTACTTCTGCATTCCCTGCCGGCCCTGTGCATTGCTTGTGCAGCACTAGTCACACACCGTCTTCTGCACAAGCCTTTGAGTATGTGCCTAAGAGCCTTTATCGGACCACCCGTTTCTTCTGGGGGAGGGCTGCATCTTACCTGTCTCGGGCCAACTCCGCACGGCGCTCAACTCGGCGCCACACCTGGCATCAAGCAGCCTTTCACGAAGTAGTTACTAAAATGTTTAAGAATAATTACCCAATTCATCAATAATTCTCCCGAATAAGAGAAAAGGCCGTGCGTAGAATGACCGTGCATAGAATTAATGATCATGTTTAACAGTTTTTATAATTCATCAACCGCCAATGTGCCGACCAGAGAAGCCCTGAGCCTTCCACATAGAAGGAAAACAGCAACTGAGTGTTCGCGTTGGCTTCTCCCTCTCAGCTGCTGGATATCCTGAGCATCCTTTACTACCACATGCCGGTCCTCAGGCAGAAGGAGGAGAGCTTCCAGTTCATGCTGGAAGCCATCTCCCAGATGGCCAGCTTCCACACGGAGGCCGTCGTCACCAGCCTCCTGCAGAAGCCTCTGCCCTTCGACAGGTAGGGCCCGGCCAGCCCTAACCCCTTCTCCCGGAGGGAAAGGCCGCACTCCGCAAGGCACGGGAAAGGGGTCGTCCCGTGAGAGGAAGGGAGTAAATCAGGCCGGATAATAATTTAAAAATTAGAGTTTGAATCACAAGTGGTGTTTTCCCTATATATGCTCCTTGAATGAGAATGAGATTTTTCTTAAACACACCATAGGAATTAGTATTAAAAAGTGAATATTCTTCCTCTTTCTGGTTGCCCAGAATACACCTATTTATAGGTTTCCGTCTTGATGGACATTAACAGGGATCCGAGGCCGGAATGCAGGGTTGTTAAATAAAACATCCTCATTATCCCCCGGCGTGCTGACATGTCCATCTGCCCTTGAGGATTTGGTCAGTCATCACGTGGTTTTAGAGTGAGTCGGAGGGAACAGCTCGCACTCCAAGGAGCTGGGCCTCACCAGCCCCCGCCTCGCTGCCCTAGGGACACAAAGACACTGTGGAAGGCTCTGGCGGAGAACCCGGCGTCCAGCAGTAAACTCCTGCGAGCCCTGACAGACAAGCTGGAGAACAGTCTGGAAGATGACCTGGCCGGCATGGACGCGATCGCGGTGAGTTGGCCAGCCCGCCACGTGTCTGGAACGGGGCCCCACTCCGTGAGCGCCCCCGCCTGGAGCTTGGGGGTGTGCCATCCATTCATTCATCGCGCGTGTCCTCTCGGGCCCTGATGTTCAGTCAAGTCCGGACAAAGATGGCAGTCGTTTTGCCTGCGGCTGCCATTGTTAGAAGCAAATTTCTCATCAGCCCAAAGAAAATCTGGGTCCCTGTATTTCCAAATTTGTCCCCAAGATATCCGAGGCACCCTTTTGTGTTAAGAGAGCCCCCACTGCTGGGAAGCATTTCGTTGCACCTGACTGGTGGCCCCTGGAGTCGGGGGTCGCCGAACACGGCAGCCCTGAGACAGAAACACAGTCCGAGCTGACAAGTGTCCAGACAGACCCCACATCCCTCCCCGCCTTTTCTGTGTTTTTACCGTGAATGTGGTCAACTCAGGAGGCAGTCATGGGGGGCGGGGAACAAAGTTGCCCACCGGTCCAGCGGGAGGACGACCTCGGAGGAAAGGAGCCTGTCCCACCACAAGGCCCTTTCCCCCCTCAGGTGGCCTGCGCCATCCACGAAGTCGTGTCGATAGGCACCCCTGTGACAGGCCTGTACCCAGAGCTGTTCACACTGCTCCTGAAGCTGGTCAGCTGCACGCTGGGCCAGGCCATGCCCACTTCCACCCTGAGCTTCCGGCGGCGGGTGATGCAGCAAGGGGAGCGGCAGCAGGTCGCGGACCCCTGCAGGTGAGTGGCCGCGCGGGCGTGCCCTCCAGAGTGTCCTCGTCCCAGGTCCAGAAGCACGGGGATGCAGGAGTCAAGGCCTGTGCCTTCTGGCATGGCCTCAACTACCTGTGGGAAAGCAAGGCTCCGCCGCTCTGCATCCCTAAGCCTCGGAGAGATTCTCCCTGAGCCGACAACACCCAGTGTGATTGCCCACAATGTCACAGCACAAATAAGCAGCTGCGTCTTCTTCCCCCAAGGGCCCGCTCTGTTTCCTCTGGTTTCTTTCACTGAGACCTTTTGAGGAAAGCTGGCATTCTACAGTGCGCAAGGCCACCAGGGAAAGAAGGAAAACAAAAACCATATTTCAGCAAAGCTAAGACTTTGCCCATTGAAGGAAGCAACTTGATTTTGTGTACTGTTGAGAAAGGAAAACAACAAAACAATTAAGCCATGGATCAATGCTTTCTTAAAGTTTAAAACTGTATTTTATTTTTATCCAAAGAGCTAGTTTAGGATTAGTAGACATACATTTTTCTCCCATATCACATTGCTCCGTTTCCCCGCTCTTTTGCATAACTTTTCATTCCAAGGTCAAATCAACATTAAAAAGACGGTTTAAATAGCAGTCAGGCACAACCTGTGTAGTTTCCACAGTACATGTAACTTCACTAAAATGGCATCAGTATAAAAAGCCATCCCCCAATCCATGCGCGTGTGTTTGTGCGTGTGTGTGCGTGCGCATGTGCGTGCACAGACAACAGCAGCCACGTCCCAGCTACCGGCCGGCCACCAATGGCAGCACACTGTCCACTGCAGGATGCGTCCTGATCCCCGAGGCGCTGTTCCCGAATCAGCGAAATGCGACGCGGAATTCACCTTCCATCCTTAGGGCTTTATTTTCTCAGGAGAGGCTGACGAGATTTAGTGGCATTATCGCCCAGCTCCAATCCCCTCCATGTTCCCTTTGACGAAAGCATGAGGCCAGCCCACCCGCCCGTTGGTTCCCTTGCGCACCATACATTCGGGCAGGAGCCAGGGAGTGCTGCAGGGGAGGGGAAGGGTGGCCCGGGGAAGCCGAGGCTCAGGCTCCCGGTACAGGGCTGACTTCCTCTGGCGCTGCCACCCGGCTCCCGCAGGCTCTCGACGGCCACCCTGAAGTGCGTGCAGGCCCAGGCCGTGAGAGGGGGCTTCGCCGTGGAGTCGGACGAAGGGGACAACGTGTGGACGCTGCTCCACAGCCCCAGTACCCACCACCTCGGCGTGTGCGCACTGGCCAGGTAACGCGCAGGTGTCCCAGGCTGGCTGCAGAGGAGAACACTAGAAATGGAGTAAAAAAAAAAAAAAAAAAGATGCAGTGCAGGCGACTTGACTGGGAGCAATGGACTCACCAAGGGCTTGTGTGTGTGGCCAAGGAGAAGAAGCAGAGAAGAAGGAGCAAAGGGGTTTGGGAAGGGGTGGTAGGATCAGCCCAGAGCTTACCACTCCCTAAAGAAAAAGAAAGCAAAATATCGAACAGTCCTAGGCCAACCACACTTAAACTGGGCACACGGTGGGCAATCTTAAAGGGGAAGCCTTGGAGCTCTTTCCTTGAACATCCCTGTTTAGAGGATTTATTTTCCTGGGAGAGACAGAGGCTAGGATCCCCCCCACTGCTGAGGAGGAAGGGAGCCCCCGTTACAACCAGACGCGTGCGTTTTCCAGGAGCACGGCCGTGTGGCAGCAGAGAATCATCCTGGCCATCATGGAGCAGCTGCACTGGTCGCTCACCTCCTCTTCGGAGAACTACCGCATCACGGGCATGGCGTTCTTCTCCGAGGCAAGGCCAGCCGCGTCTCCGCGGGCTCGAGGGGACGTCCCCTGGGTGTTTCTCTCAGGGACCTTGCAGGGGAGACAGGGGACCGGCCAGGGCCTTGGTTACCTGAGCAGGGAGTGAGAGGGAAAAAGAAAAGAACCCACCCCAACTTCCTCCCTTCCTCCAGTCTGCAGAAGTCAGCCTCCCAGGACACAGAAGGGCAGAGAGTAAATACAAGAGGGACAACACAAAAAGTAACCAACAGGCATCTGTTACTGCCCCCCTCCCTCTGGGGTAAAGGCAGTCCCAGTTGATCCAGAGAAGGAAAACCCCCCTTTTCCCTGCCCTGTTTGTTCCACTTACCTTAATCAGAAGCCTCTCCTTAGCGAGGGATTCTCGTCTCATCCCTGGGGAACCTTGACCTGCGGGCTGCTCCCACCCGGAGCTTAGTTTCTGCAGGACTGGCTGGCCCACCTGCGGGCTCTTCGTCCTCTGCTCCACGGGCAGTGGCCACCCCCTCTCCAGCTGGAGTTGGGAGGCCTCTGGCACTCTCCCGAGGGCAGCCACTCCCTCACCTGAAGGGGAGGGCTGTGTCCCTCCTGCAGCTCATGAAGGAGCCGGTCCTGTGGAAGCACTGGAATCTACGGAACGTGCTCATCCTGATGGACCAGAGCGCCTGGGACTCCAACGCCACTCTCAGGCAAATGGCCATCCGGGGGCTCGGCAACACGGCTTCCGGCGCCCCCCACAAGGTAACGGGGGGTGAGGGTGGGGGGGATCGTTTATTTAAGCAGAGTCTGAAATACTTACGGACTAACCCACACCTTCTGTTTGTGGTCGCAAAGCGATCAAGCACGATTCCAAACAAATGGCTAAACCTGTAGCTCTTGATCTGAAGGGCTTGTGACCCCAACAGAATTTCAGTCCTCTTCCCTGGGGCCTTCTCCCCTTATTCCAGGCACACACATACAACAGCCTTTGACACTAAAAGAGCTTACTTCAAAACAGGTGAAGAAGCATAAGCAGATAATATTGGAGTCTATCATCAGAGGCCTGTACCACCTGGCCCGCACCGAGGTCGTCTGTGAGAGCCTGAAGGCTCTGAAGAAGATCCTGGAGCTGCTCACGGACCGAGACGTGAGCTTCTACTTCAAAGAGATAGTGCTGCAAACGAGAACCTTCTTTGAAGACGTAAGTGAGCCTGCTCAGGAACCTTCCCTCCCCAGGAGAAGTGAGCGAACTCGAGAGGTCCAGGTAGTGCTTGTAGCAGACCATGTCAGTGTCCCATCCATATTCCTTGTGCTGGCCCTGAGGTCACCTGCCCAGGGGTCACCTGAACAATTCCTGAGAAGGCTGTCGGCTTCCTGCGTCTCTGTCGAAGGGTACTCTCTGGCCCAGGAATCATCATGGGTCTGAGCAGGCTGGGCCCGACCTTGGGGAAGGACCCTCAGATGATAAGAAGCAGGAGTTTGTAGCAAAACTCCCCAGCTTTCTCACCCCTCGGGACTGAGCTCCACCTTCCTACAAGGGTAACACACTCATCAATGTTCCCTTTCGTAGCTTTTGTCTCTTCCCTGTCCCATTATGCTGCCTGGGCTCGCCTCCCAAATAATTACTTACGCCTACATCCTCACTGTCCAAGTTTGCTTTGGGGGGAACACACGTTAGGACTGTGAGTTACACTCAGTACAGAGGTAGGGGCCCGGGGGTGATGCTGTCACCTCGAACCCCATCTTTTCCACATCCGAGAGTTATAAAGACTCCAAACGCTCATGTGGCTCATTTCGTCCAGGAGTCAGCAGGAACCGTAGCTCGAGGGCCAGATTTAGCCCAGAGCATCTTCCCGCAAATCGAGTTTCTCTGGAACACAGCCACGCTCACTGGTTGCCCAAATGCCTGTGGCGGCTTTCCCATCTCATCCGCAGAGCTGATTAGCTGTTACAGAAACCAGATGCCCCGCAAAAGGCCGGACGACTTCCTGTCCGGCCTTTCAGGGAAGAGTTTGTCGACCCCCTGATCTAGTCCATAGCCCTGATCTCAAAAAATACCAGGCAGCGATCCGGGGCCAGGGAAGGCCATGTTCCTTTAGAACTTCTGGGAAACTTGGTTTGATTGTTTGTTTTTGGCGTGTGCACCGTCACGGTGTACAAATCGACTCCACGTCTGACTTCGATGTCTGTGTCTGTGATCCAACCCTATGTTCTGCACTGTCCGAGGAGACGGAAGACTGCTGGCCGCCTCCTTCAGAAACATTAAGGCTTAATTACATGACTTATTTCCCTCCAGTCTCCAGCCTGGAAAGTCTTCATTTCCTTCACTATTCATCACAAACCCAATTTTTCAGCTCCTTAAGTATTTTACAAGCCAGCAACTGTATTGTATCTCTACACGAGGCCTGAGAAGCATGGAATAGAACCTAAAGAAAAAAATTACCTCTCACGTCCACACTTTTCTGGTTCACTCACTCCATTTCTTTCCTTTAAATCTGGTCCTTTCTTCCTGACTCTTGGGCAAAGTTTCTTAGCCATACAGACCTCTAGATGCCAGCCTGCGCTGTAAGCCTACAGTCCACCACTCTCCCGTTGTGGGTATTCAGTGGCCCTTGTTTACTCACGCGCTAGCTTAAACCAGCCCTTTGAAAGGAGCTGCTCCTTTCCAGCTACTTTTTTTCTCATCGCACAGACGGCTGGTGATGATCTTTAACGAGGGGCTCGGGTCGTCCCTGTGGAGCCCCATCTGTCTGCTGGGTTTCCCTCTGGTGTTGTGGACTCAGCGATGAGTTTTTGTTTTTGTTTTTTTTGGATCTGAGCCTGCAGTAATCAATCACAAGGACACTTATGGAAAGATAGTGTTTTTCCCTCTTATGGCAGAACATAAAGTCTCAAGTCTTGCAGGTTGTTAGGTTCGACCTTTCTCATTCTTAATAGGTATCAGTTCCTATTGTGTTTGCATAAAAGTTTGATGAAACTTGAGTCTTAGCGATGACATGCAATTTACTCTCCAGCAATGCTCTCTTGCTGCAAATATATGTAACTCTATGATGCTTGTCCCTATATTGTCTATAGATTAAACATACAATTTTGTAATCTCCAAATTCCCCCTTCTTTTTTCCCCAATATTTAAGTGTTTTCCTGGGCTTCTCAGAACACGGCAACACTTCGGTGAAATGGGGGAACTGAACATGTGGCCACCGCCCCGTGCCCAGGCCCAGCTCGCTGCTCTCTCCCACGCCGTCACGCTGAGCAATCTGCCCACGCTCTGTGCGTCCGTCTTCCCAACTCCCACAAGGTCATCGGACCCAGGGCCTCTCCCGGCACCCGAAACGCTGTGGCACTTCTCTTTTCCGCTCTTTCACGCTCCCGGTCCGCCGATTCTTCCTTAACCTATCTTCAGGTCATCGATTTTGAAAAATTCAGATTTTTTTTTAAAGTAAATGCCTTTTGGGTACTTTGTGATTGGTCTGCTTTCTTTTCAAAAATGACACTTTTTAAACATCTGTATCCTGATCGCATCCCTAGTCCGTGTAAAGAACATTTCTACCATACGAGGTCATGTCTCATGTTTTTGTTTCACTTTTCTGGCCCTTTCGCAACAGTCCGTCTTTCTTTTTTCTGGGGGATCTTCATCAGGCTCCTTTTTTGCGGCGTTTGGTTTGCGTGCCCTCACACATGGGCAGTTCGCCATCGAAACGAACTCCTCTGTCTCCCGCCCCCGCATTCAGGCAAAGCTCTGGTGCGCCCGCGTTGACTGCTGGTCTATAAACAACATTGTGCTCCTCGGGACTTGTCCTTTCATCCCGGTGCCCCCACACAGGGGTTTTACACTAATTTTCTAGACCTGGGTCAGGGAAAACTCTCCAGAAAATTCCCCAGTCTGTTACAACTCTGAACCTCATCAGCCAAGTATCAGAGACAATAGAAGGGTGTCTTTCTCCACCACCTTACCCTTCCGTTTTTAGGGTCACGGCCTGCCATCCAGGAAGACAAGCAAAAAAGTTCCTTCACTCCACATACACAAGAATGGGGCTAAACACATTTTTTGTTTGTCCCTTCTCTCTGAGACCCAAAGTCCGAATTTCTGAGCGGCCTGTAATTCCGTTAGAAAGGATCTGGAATCTTGGAGAAGGTCCCAGGCCTTGGGGAATCTGGGTGAGAGGCCCCGTAACTCACGCCCAGGCGGCGGTCAGGCCGACTTGTATAAATAAAAAATAAACAGCAGCCCTGTCCTGGCTTTCTGCTCCTGCTTCCCATTCCTGTGGTCACGTTTCCCCATCGGCCACTCAGAGGCAGAAGCCATGTCTCCCCTTGCACGGCATCACTTAGAACCCGGGCCCTCGGCCATCAGAACCCTCGTAGTGAGTGCGGGTCAGAGAGCTGCTGGAAGAGGAACGGCTGGGGCTGTGACCCGGCCGCCCCAGGCAGGGTGGGGCTGGAGCTGGGCGTGCCGGATGGAAATGGCCCGAAAGGGGGACTCACCCAGGACTTGCATCTGTCGCCACAGGAACAGGACGATGTGAGACTGACTGCCATCGTCTTATTTGAGAATCTGGCATCCCTAACAGGGAGAAGGTGGAAGATGTTTTTTGCGGAGGAAATTAAAAAGAGCATGATATCGTTCCTTCTCCACCTCTGGGATCCCAACCCCAAAGTTGGAGCTGTAAGTGGCCCTTGCAGACAACTGTCCCTTCTCCTCCCCCGCGGCCGGATGTGCCGTGTGCCCCATCCGACCCAGAAAGCCACTTCTCCACTCCTGGCTTCTCTCTCTCCAGCTCTTCCAGAGTTTGCTCTTCCTCCCTTGACACTGGGAAGGTGCCCATATGGACCAGGAAGCCCTTCCCATCACTGACATTGCTCCTTTCCCAGCACTAGTCAGCAGTTCACCCTCTGGAAGGGGAGCCGGCGCTACGGACTGTGATGCAGAAAACTCTGTCTTGCAGGCTTGCCACGATGCCTTGACTGTCTCCATCCCCTTTCTGGGCCTCCAGGAACTCTATGGGGTCTTAGATAATCTCCTTGATGGTCAGGATCCACCAAGGGCCCGAGATTTCTATAGGCAATTCTGTGCAAAACTGGTGAGTGTGCTGTCAACGCTGCCTGGAAAACAATGCAGGCAAGGGTCCCCGCCCATCCCAGAAGGACAACCAACAGGGCAAGGGAGCTCCAGCGAGACGCAGAAGTATGTTGGAAGGATGGCAGAGATCCTTGGTATCCCGCCATAGTTCCCAAGTCCTGGCTGGACTCTGTTCTCCTTGATTCCTGAGACACCTCTGTTGATGTGTCCCATAAGCCCAGTACTTTTCTGGTTCAACTTAGGTTGGAACCGCCTGAGAGAATCATTAATGGCTGTGTGAGCTGCACTGGCCTTTAGAGCTTCCTCCTTAGGGCCTCCGGGCTGCTGATTTCTGTAAGGGGTCCCCTTCCGGTTTCCCTCTTTGCAATTCCCTTCTCTTCTAGGCCAAGAAAAACCAGGAAATTCTGTGGATCCTGCACACACACTCCTTCCCCTTCTTCAGCAGCAGCTGGGAGATGATTAGGAGCTCGGCCATCAAACTCACAGGTGAGAGCGGGCCACGCCCCCACTCAGGTGAGTCTGCTCTCTGACTGCAGCTGCTCCAACATGGACACTGGAGCAATAGGTATGACAAGGAAGGAAGGAAGGAAGGAAGGAAGGAAGGAAGGAAGGAAGGAAGGAAGGAAGGAAGGAAAGGAAGGAAGGGAGGAAGGAAATTTTGTCTTGCAACATCTCCCCGGCAAGGAGCAAACCTGTGCTCTTTTGTGCATGAAAGCCTACAGTATCTTCTGTCTTTTCAACCCCCACTCTCCATCCTGGGCCCTTTGTGCTTCTTCCGGTCCCAAGTCATTGCTCCTTCTTTTCCCCAAGCCCTTGCTCCGAGCCTGCTGCCCCCTGCCTAAATGTTTTCCTTTGTATCACCTCTTATCATAAAACAATACGCTCGAGCTCAGGTGCAGCTGAGAGCCTTGGCAGCAACACGATACAAGGGGGAGGTGCCTTGGGACCCGCGCCAGCAGACCTTGGCTCTGCTGCGTGAGTCTGGACCATTCACGTCTCTTGTCAGTGTCGCTTCTTTGTCTGACCTGTAAAATAAGAGAGGAAAGTGCGTGAGTCTCCAAGGACCCTCCTGTCATGACAATCTAAGCCCTAGCATGATGCCTGTTCCCACTGATCAGGCCCACAGTGCACAGGCCCACGAGCTGGCCACTTTAAAGAGTGAGGATTCTTTACTGGATCATGTATAGGACCCCCAATTATGTCATAAACTTTTTGAAGATGGGGGCCATATCTTACACACGCTGGAAACCCTGACAATGAATGGCACACTCCCTGGGAGGACATAGCGTGAGCTTTCTCAAATACTCATCGAGGGAGTGACCATTCCCGACACGACACTCAGGACCCCAGACGCATGAGCCTCGCGTCACCCCGGGGTGCAGGGGGAGTTGGAGTTTGCTCATTCGCTAGCCAGACCACTGAACCTTGGACCAGGCGCGTGGCCTCCTCCTCTGTGATGATTCAGTCCCCTTCTCTCCTGTTGATTTTAGATGCCATTGTTCTCAATTTGACCAACCAATACGTGGAGTCGTTAGACAGAGAACAACTGAACATGCGTGAGTACCAGCCCCAGCTTCTGCCCGGTGTGCCGGCGCATTCTGAGAGAGGGAGGAACCAATGCGGCTCCAAGCTTCGTGTTCGCCCAGAAGCTCCCTAGATGCCCCCTGGACATTTCCCAGGGTGTAAAATAATCCCAGCTCCACGCCTGTACAGGCATCATACCCAGGAGACTACAGTTTCCCAGTGGTCCTTTGATCTCAGGGTCAGGATCTTCTCTTGCCTTATTTCAGCTCGTGGTTCCCAAATCCTACCTTTCCCGGCCACACGTGAGCCTGAAGCCCGCCTTGCTCCCCAGCGGGGAGCCGCACAGCACGGCCCAGCTCAGCCTGGGCATTCCTCACTCCCGGGGCTCACTCCCATTCTCTCCATTTCAGGGCTCCAAGAACTGCGGCAAGACCCCTGCATCAGCGTCCAGAGGGCAGCCGAGGCTGCCTTGCAGACCCTCCTGAGAAGGTGTAAAGAGATCAGCGTCCTTCCCTGAGCCACCAGGAAATAAACGGCTAGGCTTTTCCGTGACTGACTCCTGTCTTCTCCTCGTGACTCGCGGGCCCGCGGCATCCGAAGGAGGGATGGGGTGCCTGGGGTGGGGCCCGGAACGGGTGGTGGAGTCCTCACCCTCCAGGGCGTCCCTGGGGCGCTTCCACCGGTCAGAAGTCAACCCCACAAATATACTGAGCGGCAACAGCCACGTGTCTTGGCCACGGGCTGGCGCCCTATCTCGAGGAGCTCAAACCGACAGAGTGCGAAACCATTCTGCTGCCGTGAGGGAGAGGGCCACTCTCTTCTCCACACGCAGCCCTTTTGTGTCCTAGATTAGCCAGCTCCAAACTACTGCCTGCACACTTTTCTTTCTAATAAGCAATCTTAACAATAACCTTGAACCTGTCAGGTCCTTTCTTGTGTTATAATCTATGTGTCAGGACTGTGCCAGCGACTTTTCCACCAAAGACGCTTTCTGACATTCTGTTAAATCTCATGGTCTCCTCTCCATGTTTATTCCAGAGCCTTTTTCCCTCTGCATTGTGTGTCCACACACATGTGTTCATGTGTGCATATGTTAGACTTCTGTGTAGCATCTGAAACAGAAGTCTTGGCCATTTTCCGCAGTGCACACCCGAGAGGCCATACACAGAGCTGTGAGTGGAAAGAGGAGTCTCTAACACAGCGCCTGGCAACCCTTTAACAAGCACCACCTTCATGATGAGTTATCTGCAGCTTTATTACATTGATGCATCCCTTTCACAGACCCCTGTTACTTACCTTCTAGTCTCTCCATCCTCAGACTCTGACGGAGCACCGTTTGTTCTTATAAAACCCTCTAAGGACCAAAGGAATCTTTTAGGTCAAAGATTCTTTATTTAATCACTTAGCAAACATTTATTGAGTGCTACAATTTATAAGGCGGTGTTAGAGCCACTGAGGTGCAACTATGGAAAAAATATTTTAAAATTCTACCCTCATGGAGCTTATTCTGTGAAATCAGTGTATAACTTCTAGAGGCTGGAGCAGGCCTCCAAGACAGGACCTCCGGTGGTCCTGGCCTCCTGGGGTTCGTGCAGTACCCCCCCACAATGTCTAGAAAAATGGAAATGACCTGTGCCATCAATATTTCAGAAATGACAAAGTGGGACTCCCAAGGCAAGGTCACACAGGGTGTCGCACTCTCTGGAGTCACTCACTTCAGGGGAAGCCAGCTGCCATGGCAAGAGGAACCCCAAGAAGCCCAAAAGGAGTTCCCGGGCGAAGAACAGATGCCTCCTGCAAACAGCCAGGGTGAAGGCATCCTGGGCCTTGTCATGCTCCACTGCGGAAATAAACCCGTGAGCCCCGGGGAAAATCTTCAGATAAGGGCAGCCTGGCACGTGGGCTGGATTGCAAGTTAAAATACAGAACGCTCAATTAAATCGGAATTTCAGGTAAACAATATTTTTTCAGTAAATGTATGTCCTGATTATTGCCTGGGGCATATGTAGAGCAAAGAATTCTTTATTTTTTTTATCTAAAAGTCAAATGTAACTGAGCATCTCGTATTTTATTTGCTACATCTGACCGCCCTCCTGCACTCTAATGAGGGTCCTGAGCCAGAATCACGAAGCTACATTCGTCCTGAATTCCTGAACCACAAAACTGTATGAAATAATAAATCTTTCTTGTTCTAAGCCACTGAGTTTGAGGCAATTTGCTATGCACCCGTGGGCAACTATTACACAGAGGGTTCATGATCCCACCAAAGAGGTATGCAAATTTCTGTGTGTAATTGCATAGGGGCATTTTCTGGGTAGCAGCTTTCATTAAATACTTAATGGAGTCAGAAGTTATTCCCAAGGCTAACATGTGAAATGGAGCAAGGAAAGAAGGCAAGAGACACGGGTTTAGTTGACACCTTCTGGCAGGTTATTTTAAGTCAAATGACTTTTCAAAATATCTCTGCACGACAGAACTTTCAGCTCCGATGGGAAAGTTCTACACCTGCAGTGACCCGTATGGGGAGCCACGAGCCCAATGCGGCAACTCAGAACTTTTTGAAATGTGGTTGGTCTAACTGAGAATTAAATTTGTATTTTTACATTTAATTAAATGTAAGTGGTCCTATGTAGCTAATAGCTACAATATTGCACAACACATTTCCAGAACGTGGGGCCAAGGGTCATACAGAATTTGGGCGGAGCCACCCAAGAACTGGAAGACATTCTCAACAGACGTCTAAATGAAATGACAGCAGACCTCGACTGATCCTTCTTTATAAATCCCCATTGTTACCCTCCACCCTTCCTAGCACCCCGCAAAGAATCCTCCTCATCATCTACTGATGGAAATCAGGTAGAATGGCCACAGGTCACACACCTCGCCCCTGAACCTTTATCTGTCTAGACCCTAATCTTAGATCCAAGGCACGGTCACACATGGCATGGCACTCCCTCGAGCCACTCACTTTGGGGGAAGCCAGCTGCCATGTCAAGAAAATTAGAAAATTTTACCCTGACAAGAATTTGCAAGACTTTTTTTTTAAGTCACAGCCTGGCTCCATCTCTAACAGCCACGATACTTTGGAAAATCATATGACCTCTCTGTACGTCAGTTTTAACATCTGGGCAGTTGCCCTGGCTGGTGTAGCTCAGTGGATTGAGCGCAGGCTGTGAACCAAAGTATCGCAGGTTCGATTCCCAGTCAGGGCACATGCCTGGGTTGCAGGCCACAGCCCCCAGCAACCGCACATTGATGTTTCTCTCTTTCTCCCTCCCTTCCCTCTCTAAAAATAAATAAATAAAATCTTTAAAAAAACAACAACAAAAAAATCCGTAAAATTAGGATAATAATTATCTACATCAAGATGCTATTGTGAGGATTAAATATATTCTGGTACACATAAGGCATTTTGAAACGTGGCACAGCCTCGTCGTTAAGTAAATGTTAACCACGCAATACAAGTGTGAGCGAATTAACAAATGCATTATCATTAGGATCTCAAGTATTCACATGAACCCAGTGATTGGTACAGAAAGCCAGCTGATTATCCGACCCCCCGTGTAGCCATGTTCCTCGCCTTCTTGGGAGGCTGGAGATGAGGCAGCCCCTCTTTTCAGAAGATCCCCCCTCGGCAGCTCGCCCTGCCGCTCTGGCCGCCTCTGAGTTACCGCAGTGCCGCGGCGGAGCCTTCTCTCTGGCTCCCGTATTTGTCGGAGTACGCCACAGGCAGGCCGTGTGACAGGGGAAATGCAAATCCATCTGCTCTCCCCGGCCATGATGCCCATTAATCCCGGTGACTGCCGTTCGCTCTAAAGAGTTGCCCGCGGCCCCACCTGATGCCTGTCTCCCCGGTCCATCCTCCGGCAGCCTCTGCAGTCCGCCGATGGATCAAACACAGGCGCATAACCCAAGTGAGAGAGGCCGCTCCAGGGTCTCGAGGAAAGAGACCCACAGAAGCAGCGCGTGTTCAAGTACTACGGAGGAAATGACAGATTCTGTTCAGTGTTCAGTCACCCTCCTGTTGCTTGCCTCACTGTTGGCAGTCCATGTAATCATTTTTTTTTTGACTCCTGTGTACTTGAGGGTAGAGAGTCTGCAATGGCCACAGACTGCCCGGTGGGCTAGCCCTGCTTTGCAGGGCTCTGAACCGCGGCGTTCTGCAACTCAGGACTCTCTCTGCCCTTTGACCCACGAGTGAGAGCCAGGGTTCTGCTGGCAAATCAGCAATGTCCAGCCTGGCTGACCCTGCTGCGGAGGCGGTTTCACCAGAACAGGGGAGAACAAAGATCAGAGACGAGAAGAAAGAAACAAGCTTCCAGAGCACGAAGCCAGGGGGATTGCATAATTGGAACTGTCCCTGTGGGACCACAGTCTTCAAGGATAAAATACAAGATTAGCCACTTCTTCGGAAGCCCTCAAGAGACTCTGAGATTCTAGTAAAGGTTTTCTAATAGCGTTTTATCATTGGCTGATTTCATCCTCCATCCCACCGTTACCCTTCATCAGACCTGAGCACAGGGTCGAAGAGTTCACGGTCAGTCAGAGCTGGCAGCCACCTCCAGCTAACTGGGCATCTTGACCCAGGCCCCTGAGAGAGAGCAGCTTCTGACCAGCAATTTTGCACAGCTGCAACCAGGAATGATTGCTTCTTGCCTTTTTATTTTCTCATTGGCTGCAGGTATCCTTACACTGAGACAGCACAAGACAGGGAGGGAGTCAAGTGCAACATGAGGAAAGAGAGTGGGTTTTATTACAAAAATGTGTGTGTGTGTGTGTGTGTAAAATCCCCAAGCCGCGACCTGAGTGAGAAACGGCATTGGCGTCTCCCCTCCGCTTGGTCCGACCATCCATCCAACTAGGCGTCCTCCCCTGTGTGTGTCCCTTTGGGACGCACTGTCCTGGATTGTATTTATTGAATTATGTGGTTGTCCTGAGAGCAAGACACATTTGGAAACACAGTTTTATAAATATCTGTGACTCATAGCTTCTTTTTCGATCTCAGAGCCACCAAAAAACACAAGATAAGAAATCCTTCCTTCTACATTACCCACCACTTCCTCCGAACATTCTCAGAGATACATTCTGAGGGTTAAACTGACCGACGCTCTAACCCCCTCTTCACTGCATGACGGTCAAAACGAGACCCTCCCTTGGAGCCGGAGGTTCTGGGGCACTGCCGAGTAGCCACAGAACAGGTTAGCCAGGGCCGCTGTATCGCCAGAGAGAGCAGAGGGGAGTTGGAATTTATCTTTACCCCGACCCCAGTGGAGTCATCAGAAAATCAGGAATGACCCCACATCCAACCCTCCAAGGCTCTGCTCAGGGCTGGGATCATGAAACTGTGCCAGGCCGGTGGGCAGGGCCTGTGGTACAGCCTTTTCTTTTCTTTTCTTTTCAGATTTATTTATTTATTTTTAGAGAGGGAAGGGAGGGAGAAAGAGAGAGAGAGAGAAACATCAATGTGCAGTTGCTGGGGGTCATGGCCTGCAACCCAGGCATGTGCCCTGACTGGGAATCGAACCTGCGATATTTTGGTTTGCAGCCCTCA